CAGCATGAAAGGCCATGGGGAGCTGAAATCAGGCACGAAGAAAGAGCTTGAGGAGCACTTAGTGCCAGAGCCTGGCCATCAGCTCAGAATCTACTATTATAAATATGAGCTGCAGTATTTCTGAGATTGCACTTAAATAAATGGAGCAAACCAAAATGGCATTTATACTGAAAGGAGACACCAGGAGAGAGTAAGTAGCTAATAAAGAGCAGTGTAGATCGGGCATTCAATATCTGGTGGAAGTTGCACATCTTTCCTGGAAGGAGCTGTTTGCAGTCCTTTGGTAGTATTTTCTATCATATTAGTTCTGTTTCTGAATTCGCCTGGGCTCTGTTCTTGTCCACTAACCCCAATTGTGCTCCAGGGTGTTCCTGCAGTTGTAGCATAAAGGATGACCTCTTGTATCCAGCACCTTTTTGCATGGGTGGAGTGGAGAGCAGCTCTCCGTGAACCTTCAGCTTGTGCTTCTCCATGCTGCTTCCTCTCAACGCTCTTCTCTCTTTGGCGCTGCCTAACTCTGACTCTGGCTGTTCATGGGGTTTTCCTTTGTGCTTGATCTAACCATGTGGTAGAACAATACAAATTGAACATGGTTCTGTCAAGCACCATGGAAGGCTGCATACTCCCTGCCGCATGGCATGCTGGGATACTTCTGCTGTTTTCAGAAGCATCAAAAGGTGAGAGATTCCCCTTTTCTCACAGGAAACATGAAAAAGGTGAAGTGTTGCTTAACCAGACTCCTGGGCACTACAGGGGGGAGCCCTAGTGATGTTTGCAACAGACTTTCCAGAGGGCTTGCATGCAGAATAACCATTTCTACGTGATTAATCTGTTTAATTGCTCATAAAATGAAGAAGTTAGGCATCCTGTTGATTAATATCATTCAAGGGTGATTCCAGCCATACCTACAGAGATAAAAACATCATTTTTGCCATCTTACCTTATAAATAATGTAAGCTGCATCTCTCTATTTGAGCCGTCCAATGAGTCCTTCTACTTGAGGTACACTTTGGATGCCATTTCTGTAACATGCTGCCTGGTACTTAACGTAGCTTTGGGCCTGATCTGAGCAATCTTAACACGCTGGACTTTCATTATAAAGAAGTATATTGCAAAAGAACTTTAGAAGTGTCTGCAAAGCATTATCTTTTGTCTCTTGAAATGACATGGGTAACATGGCCTGTATGAAAACAGTATTATCCAATGGTTACATAGCACAAAGCTGAGTCAGCATACTCAAATGGTCCATTTTAGCTTTGACAGCTTAGATAAGAACTTTACCATACTTCTGACTAACTTCCCTCCTATATAAAGTAGAGTTAATTACACCTCTTCATAAAGAACTCTGAGACCCTCATACAAAAGTTTTCTTATATGGAAGTACTGCCTCATCTTGCAGATCTGTTACATGTCTGTTATGGAGCCATCAGAAGGACCTCTGAGATTCTTAGATTTTTATCTGTAATTACTGATAAGAATGAATACTAGTAATGTGAAATTATGACAAGCAATGTACCTACTTTTTTTTCCTGAAAACCTATGAGAATAGTGATTAAATGAAGAAGTGAGTGTCAGGATTTCTGGTTTTGTGTCCAAGTTTTAGACCAAGTGATCTCTGTGATCATATTTTTGGTGCCAAATTTGAGGCAGCTGGATCCATTTTTTCTAGAATGAATGTATCAGGTCAGTATTCAAGCCCCTGTTGAGGCAGCTTGATTTTTTTCCAGAACAGATCATTCAGCACTCCTTTTATGTGCCCTGGGCAAAGTTAATTTTTAAAAACTGAAATCAGGTTTGCTAAACAATGCTTAAAAATAATAGGACAAAAAGGTATTTGTCTCTGTTATTTAATTTCTCCATATGAGTATTAGAAAGGCACCTAAAACTTTTGAGCCCTTGGAAATGTGGTGTTTCTATATCTCAGTACTGATGTTTTGTAGAATGACGTGTGCTTGTTTTATGATACTGAGGAATTGCAATACCCTGGTACCTGACAGTGGTGTCATGTAGGTTGTGAAATAAAACCGTTATCAGACTAACTAGCAATTCAGATAGACACACTTGCCCTCAGTTAAACACAGGTCTTGCTGTTGCCTTGGCTACTCATTTTACAGCAAAGTTAATTACTTTTCATTTTGGAAATTACTAGAAACTCCCAAGTCATGTTTTATATTCAGCCAAGCTTCACAGAGTTGTCAGCTACAGTGCACACATGCTTTCAGGTATAATAAAATGACCAATTGGCTGGTCTGGAATAGTGAAATGAAGCCAAGTGTTTCTTCTGTGCCTGTCCTGCATCTCTTTTCCATGGCTTTCCACAGGTGATTTTACAGTGTGCAAGCAGTACTACATGCCTGTGATGGTTAATCGTGCTTCCTGAATCCTGTCATGTTCACCCAGAGCCCTGCAGTAGTACACTGATAAAGCCCTGCATGTAGAATTGATATACACACTTTAAATAGTTCTGCAAGCAGATGGCTGAATTTTGCATTAGTATCCCAGGTGGGAATATCTTAATAGAACAGCCACCTGTCCAAGTGATCTCAAGGCTCAGGTCAAATAGTAAATTTTATCTAGTCTTTGGCAGGTGATTCCTACTGTCTCACAGTCTAATGGATGTCTGAGTACTTGCTGAGCATATACATGCTATTGATTACTTTTGACTCAGTGCTTACCTGGGTAACTGTTATTTAAACTCATTCGGAAGAAAAAAAAAAAAAGAGAGAGGGAAAACAAAAAAAAAGTATGAAGGTGATGTTTGCTCCCTTCCTCTCCTGCTGAGCTGAGAGAGCTTTCCCCTGTTGCACGTGTGGAGGCAGTGGACTGGTGCCCAGGCAAGATCAACTTCTTAGAGCTGATGCAGTGTGGAAATTTGTATGTCATCAAGAGAGTGAGACTGCTAAGTCAAAGTGTGGTAAATATTCTTTATTTACTTCGCCAGAAACCTTGAGAGAAAACCAAAAACTGATTTTCAACCTCTAATGTTATATACCCCTTTTTATCCTTCATAAAGCATTCTACTTACTTTCCCATCATTCTTTTTTCCCACAGAAAGCTGAATCTTGTATCCATCGGTAGAGTAAGAATTATACTTAATAAATTTTTACCCTGTGTAACTTCATTATGTTTGTGATTATTCTTTTAAAGAAAGCATTTACAATGAAAATTAAAAGTGCTTCTTCAGGAGTAAACTTGAGGATTTCCAAGATACTTTCTGATCACTGAAAAATGTTGGTGGGTTTTTCAAGGTATACTGTAATTGTAGCAGTTTTAATAAACTCTGGTCCTGATAACTGTTCAACTTTGATATTATTTCCAATGAGTCATAAACAACCAAATGTACTGTCTCTTAGACCTAAGAAAGAATAGCTGTATGTTCTTGTAATCAAGCCATAATGCACTCCTTGCATGACATTTTAGCCTGACTACCAAGGCTTGAATTTTTAGGACTGGAAATCAGACGGGATTTTTTGAAAGGGTAAGAGTTTAAATGATAGAGGTGTGGGGAAAGGCTTAGACTGTATTTTTAGAATACTTTAAAATGCCCAGTGGTCCTAATATTTTAAGTGCTGTGCTGTCAAGCTAAAGAACAGTAGCAAAGTCTCACTTTAGATGTATAGTTTACAGTAAGCATGATAACCTGCAAAGTATTTAGCACTGCAGAAGTGGTAACATACAAAGCTGTATGTGATTTTTCTCATAGTCTAGTTTGGAATTACAAAACTAAACCGAAGTGTGTCTGTGGAATCAAAATGTTAGATTGCTTGCAGAATTGCTTACTTTCACTGCATCACCCTGCAGAGGTAATGTGTAACATAAATTAAAATAATAGTGGGTTTAGGTGACTTCTTTTTTCATACAGAAAATAGTATGCAGTCATAAAATGAGCAGTGGTGTATTTATCAGTCTGGCAAGGGGAAGCAGGTGATGAATGTCACCTAGTCTCTAAAACCAAATTTCAGCTCAGGTTTAAGTTTTTATTTTATTCGGGTTCTTAAAAACTGAACTTGCTCAGATCATTCTTGTGAAGGCCTTGCAATTGACTTACAAAACTCTGGAAAAATTAAAAATTACTGCTTGGTAGTTATGATCACTGGGCATTACACAAGGTTCCTGAGACAATTCTGGTGTGGTTCCATTATGAAATATGAAGTGAGTGCATAGGTATTGCATGGCAGGATCTTGGCACCATTTTGCTTACATACACATTTATTAATACTCCTGGTTCCTTGAAGCACAGAGATCAAGTTTCCAACCTGCTGTTATTAAAAGAGAAAAACCAAACCTGAAAAGGACAGATTAGTTCACTGAGCCTAATTGGAAAAGCATTTCATTAGAACGGGTCAAAAACCTAGTCAAAGAGGTCTGGCAATCATGGTATAATGGTACATTAGGGAGTGCTTCTCACTAAGTATGCTCTACCCGTTCCTTAATTAAAATGAAAATGATTTAAACTGCTATTACTTTCCTTCGCTGTTTGTTTAACATAGTTAATAAAGGTATCTAATGGTTGGAAAATTGACAAGGTTCTCTCATAAAAGATTGCTCTCAAAAATAACCCTAATAACTGAGGTCTGAAAATTTGGGGCTTTTTAATGACATCTTTAAAAATCTTCTGTCATTTGAATGCATTGATAGCTCCTGCCTTCATGAGATCCCTTTTCCTTGTTGCTGGACTAAGTTCCAAATGGGGAAAAGTGATTTTGCTGGAGCTCATTTGAAGCAGACTCCAACAGCTAATTAGACATGCTTCAAAAAATACCTCAACAGGTAGGCTTGTTAGACAAGGAATTAATCTATCAAGGGAAGAGTGAGAAAACAGAGGCTAGTCTTGGGAGTAATTTGAAAAATTACTGAACAAAAGTCTTTGTCAAGTAGTAAAATTGTGTGCAGGAACTGGGAGCTGACAGGAGGCGGTGTTGAGAATAGATTCCATAAAATCTCTGATTGCTGCAGTTATCAGGAACTGTTTGCTGGAATATATTTTCGTTTTATTGCAGGGTCAGAGGATTACAGAAGTAAATTCACCGGGAAGTGTTTCATGGACCTTGTCTGTCCTGAGAAGTGTCGCTGCGAGGGAACAATTGTAGACTGCTCTAACCAAAAACTCACCCGATTACCCAGTCACCTTCCTGAATATACTACTGATCTGTAAGTGCTGGCTCCCCAGGATGTGCTCAGCAGGGCATATTGGTTTTCCTAGTTTTTAAAGGCTGTAAAAGGGACTCCCACCTATTCAAGGCACCTTCTACATTAATCCTTGTGCAAAGAAGGGGAAGTTAATAGTATTTCAAAGGAGCACCACAACTTTCTTTTTTCCTTAGCATTCACTCGAACTGTGAAGATGAGAAAGAAGCCATGGCCCTGTGCATTGGCTGCCTGTTTGTCTTCTTGAAGGTTTGACCTGTTCTGTGGCCCAAGCTATGTGATTCCTTTCCATTCTACTTTTGAGTCCCTTGTCTTTGCATCTGGTCATTTTTAGTTAAGAAATTGATTAACCCTTTCAAGTTAAATCTGTGATCAGGAGTCCATTCCACCTCAGCAGTGCCTGCTACTTAGGTAAAATGGCTGTCACTAAAACTAATGTATTGTTAAGCCATAAGTGGTTTTATGAAATTTACTTGCTTTTAGAGATTATTCAGAATTATAAACATAATAGGCTGCTAAAGAATATGAGAAAACATGTTTATTGCTTAGTAACTGAAGAATCTGGTTCTTTTGTTATATTAGTAGCCCCTTCAAACACAATTCTCTTTTTGTGTTGATATTCTATTTATTGTACTTAAGGTATTCTACTTAAACCCTCTTAAAAACTGATCTGAAGTTAAGGAAGAAAAATATGAGACATCCAGAAACACAGAAAAGTCTCTGCATAGAAAAATGGAGCTACATGTAATCAGAGAAAGAATTCTGCATTCCAAGCCTGCCAAAAATGGCCTTTGTATCAATTTTGAAGACCAGTAGACTTTGATGGGAAAGGACCTGAAATCAGATCTCATCTGTTTATGTGGACCACATCTCCAATTGCACGTCTTCTGTAGCAGAATGTGTTAGGGAGGTTTAGTCACGCAAGCAAGGCTGTGTAGTGATTAAGGTTAATGATCCCTTATCTGTGTGCATTGGAAGAAGAAGCCATTCTGACACTGTCATTTGGCATTACACTCTTAGAGGCATCCTAAGCTTTTACCAGATTGCCCTTCCTTGAAAGCTAAACTCTTTTTACTCTAGGAGTCTGAGAGAGATGGCAGATAGTGTCTTGCCTAACAAAAGTCATAGTTCTCTCTGTGGCAGCCCTGTATGTCACAGATATATGTCTATAGACAACTGTGAAGTATTAAATGTCTCTTTGTTTGTTCCTATCAGGCGTTTGAATGACAATGATATTTCTGTTTTGGAAGCTATCGGACTCTTCAAGAAATTGCCCAACCTCAGAAAAATGTAAGTTTGAGTCACTTGCTTGTTAGAATACATGCTGCCTTGGATTATAATGAAGGAGGAAGGGATGATTTTTTTTTATAGTTTAGTACTGCTGTAGCAGAAATAGCTTTTTTAATGTGAATTTAAGGAATCTGAATGAGTTGCCTGTTAGATGGAAAGGCCCAGTTAAATCACAGTGACAGATGAAGATCCCTAGGCTGACATTTCAGTATGCTTTAGGCTATATTTCTTAAAGTCTTTGGCTTATGGAAACTGAAGTGAATTATCTCCCGGAGTTTATCCAGATATATGCTTATTATTAGAAGTGGCTACAAAGTTTAGCATTTTGGTTTTGTCTTTTTTAAGTATAGTGAGACTCCAAATAGTGTAATTGTTTCAAACAGTCAAAGGAAAATAATATTACAAGATATAGATGATGGCAGCTTCTTTTGATCATTATTGTTTTAGAGAGGTGAATCAATTAGCTAATTTAGAGATCAGTCGTTCAAATATATCTATATAATTCTGCTAACAACCTGAGTCCTGGTACCGTACAATGTATATATTTAATAACAGCTGTGCTTTGGAAAGAGGATAGTATGTTAGATACCTCCTGATAGTCTTCTAAATGGGCCTTTTGAAGTTGTTTAAAGTTTTAACACTATGGCCCTTTGCTAATGTCTCATCTAACTGTTTAATTTAGTAAGATTTTATTGCTAGAGTCAAGGTAATTTAGGGAAACCAACCAACCAGGCTTTTTGTTCTGCATTCCTTTCATGTGATTTCTGCTGCCTGAAGCTTCCTAGTCTTTTGAATCCATGTAAGATCTCAGGGGCTTTGGAGACAACTGTAGTGGGATTCTTAGGTCAGTTTTATTTCTGCAAGAGTTTCAGATGTGGCACTGTAGATTTGGGTTGGGGGTTGTATTTGTGCAAGTACAGGCCACCCAGACTTGGGTAATTAATCATATACATTGGCCTCATGTTTTATGAATGATCCATAAGTTGTAACTACAATGCATTTAGAAAAAGTTGTTGACATTGTTGAAGTGCTCTGTTGTCTATGTAAGTAAATAGTAAATGGGACTGAAAAGAGGTGTATAGAAGTACACAAAAATTGGAAAGCATCTGTCCTCATCAAACCATCAGGATTTATGTTCTGAAAATTTGAGAGGTGTGATAGCTGGAATAATTCCTTTCATTTTATTTAAAACTTACAGTAGGCAAGTTATGGTGCTGTCCTTCCTAGTCCCATCAGTCACTCAGGTGGGAGGGATGCCTCGACAGGGCTGTATTGTTATGTGTAAATGCAGCATGAAACAGTTATGGGAGGTTTTTTAAGAGTTTGTTTCCTGTGAAACAAAAAATTTTTCTGCTCTGTTCTTGGTAGGCGATGAGAACTGAGGTGTACAGGTGCAGTTCAAATGGAAGGAAAAAAGTTGTGCCCTACACCTCATAAAAATGAGTCTCTCGTATGGATTTTTAGTGCCAGCCTGCAAGCAGAGGTTCTTTAGGTAATCTTTGTAGTTGAGCTAATTTCTTTTGTCCTATCTGATGTTGTAAAGAAGTATCTTAATTTGAATAAAGGGATTTTCTGAATGTTTTTTTTTATAAGCTTATTTCAACCATGAGCTTACACAGTAGCTTAATCCTTAAAAAAACAGATTACACTTCTTTTTTCTAATTCTGCTACTTCCATTTTGTGAAGGGAAGGCGTTCCCAGGAAAAAGCAAACAAACACCCCTTTCCTTCTATGTAATTATTTGGCCTTTACTAAGTATCCTTCTGCTAATAATAGGCCTCTCCCCATTATGCACAAGGGAAATGTAGGGAAATACCAGGGGATGGGATTGGTGCTGCTGCTGGTGCTAATGCAGCAGCTCTGCATGTGTGGCAGGAACGTGATGCATGTGGTCTTCATTAAGTCTTACTGCTTACTGCTGCTATTTAGTTAAGGAGGAATAATATTGATCAAACCCCCATTTTTCAGTGTGTATAAGGGACAAAAAATTTTACTGTTATTTGATTGGCAGTATTGACTCTGTCTCATCATATTCCTTGTCTGTTCAAGTGTTAAAAGAAAACAGCAGGTGGAGGAGTCTGTCTGGAAATTGCATTGCCTCCTAGGATTAAGAAAAAATTCAGAGCTTTGCAATGGCAGACCATTAGCCTAAATCACCTTTTTTTTTTTTTTCTTTATTTATTTAATCTCTGAAATTCTCTTTCTTCTGAAATGAATCTGAATATCTAGAATCTGGATATCTGAATGGGCATTTGAATGATTGCCCTCTGGTTGTCCTTCATTCAGTTTAAGACTAGTTACAGATCTGAGTCAAGGAAATTTGCTAAGAAACTACTTTAAGAGTACTGCCATTCCACTGTGGCTAGTAAAGCTCCAGCATAATTCCAGAGATAGAGGAATTAGCTCATCCTTCCTCTCGATGGGTGTTTCACCTTGGTGCCTCCTCATCTTACGTTATCCCTAAGTGTAGCTTTGGTTTTATAACATAAACACTCTGAGGTGGTCTGTAAATTGGACCTTAAAGAGGACTCAGGTTTTACTTGTATTCTAGGTGTACACTCACATGTGTTCTTTTGTCACTCAAACTCCATCTGTTGTCGGTGCCTGGATGTGTGTTGTAGCGTATCACAGTCTCTTGGGTTTTCTAACAAGATTCCAAAAGGAAGTAGTTGTAGACTTGTCATTGACATGTTAGGGTTGCTCCAGTATGTATATGTGAAAATAGTCTTTATTTTTTCATTTTCAGTTAGACTCTTGTCCTAATCCCTTGCTAGGTTCCTCATCTCCTGATTCAGTGTAGTTTGTATTCTCGCCATGTTTTGCCTCAGCATGAGGCCAGTGTCCTGCCCCTCTTCTCTCTACCTCTAGCCTCTGACAAAGCTCCTGCTCTTCTCACTCAGTCTCCCTTCCTGCCCCTCACACACAGTTACTCCACTGCATTGCTATGAGCTATTTTTATAGCCTTCACAGATCTCACTGGGGTCCCCTCTCTATCCAGCCAAGGGCATTACTTCTTAATACTGCCTGGGATTGATACGATAGATACTTGGATAGAGAAATGTGCCCAGTATGTAGCTCAGTGTCCTGCACTGTCTTAAGAGACGTTGGAAGATGTCATGTGAAGAAGAATCTGAACTGAAAAAATCTCTGGAAAATTAGCTCCTAAAATTCAAATTAAAAAAAAAAAAAAATAAAAAGTCTTGCTGTCTCCTTGGATTGTGGCAGGAATCTTAAGTCTCTTCATTAAAGTCTAAGAATTCATCCCAATACTGACAGATAAAATACCTACATAGTAATCAGTTAACAAAATTGAAATCAGAATTTGAGTGCTTTGGGCTTTTAACAAAAAGATTATCAGTGTTTTGAGATACAAGAAAAATGGTATTTTGGTTAGCTTTTATTTCCTGGGATAGGTGAACTTCCTTCTTTTGTTTAAAAAAAACAAAAACAAACAAACAAACCAACCTAAAAATTATCTACCTCTAAACATGAAAAGGACATCTGATGACACATTCTTTCAAATCTTGACAATGTTCTAAATTAAACGTAAATTAAAAAAAAAAAGGGAAGTGTCAGACCACCTTTGCAATAGCTGGTAGTGCCAACCCTACCTCTAATACATAATTAGCTTTTGGGTTGTAATTTGTCAGTAAATATTCCTGCTAAGCTGAATCATATTGTATGATGGGTCAGCCCAGGATTTAATACATGTTAATTCAAAACAAAATTGAATTCTTGATATAGAAATTTAAAGGTCACAGATCCATAATGCAAAGTTATGCCACATTTTATTTAAGAATTAAATTGCTAGGATTACCTGCTGGTTTCTAAAAGGTTAACATGTCTGCATATGCCTTTTTTTAAAAAAACATCAACTTCAGTAATTAGCTGCAAAATCCCATATACATAATGCTATTTTCATAACCTAAATTTTAATCCATCTTTATATTTAATGCTTTTTACAGTAGAATAAAAACATTGATGTAGATTGCTGTAGACAGATCTAAGCTGGTTCAGAAGTAATTTACCGGGTTCTCCAGTAGTGGGTTTTGGAAAATGTCCTGAACTCTGTGTTGCTTTCATTGCTTTCTTACTATATTACCTCACCTGATCTTGCAAGTGTAAAGGGACGACTTGTCTCTGAAAGCTAAGGTCACATTACAGTGAATTCCAGGCTCCAAGAACTGTGTTGCTAGTATTTTGCGGGGTGGTTAGAAAAGAGCAATATGAATCTGTTTGAAGTGCAAGAGAAATACAAGTGTGTGTTTCCGAGCTCCTTAAGAGTCGGAGCAGCTCCATGACTTGGGTTTTTGGGGATATCCTATCTGTGTGAGATAGAAAGGCTCCAGGATTTGCTGCCCTCCAGCCCTGGGAGGTGGAGGCTTCTGCCTTTCACAGAGGAGTAAGTTGCCAGTGGGAGATCTTCTTGCTCAACACAGCAAGGTCTTTCATCGGGCAGGGGTGAGAGGTGACACTACCATTCACAAAGGTAAGGTTTTGACTTCTGTGGAAGGGAGCAGTTCTTTGCTTATAGCAACTACCAAATTCAGCGCTGGGGACCCCATGACTCCCTGAGACTACGTCAAGTTACTTAGTCAAAAATCCCTCCAGTGCTTGAGGACTCCCGTGGCAGTGGGAGCCTGGAGGGGTCTTCTGGCAGGCTCAAGCTCCAAACCACCTGGGTACCTACTTCAGTGGGAGCATGGTGATACACTTGCTTGCTGAAATGTGATGCTGACCCACAGGGAGAGGCTGCAACTCCCAGATGTCAGCTCCAGAACCTGCCCGTTCCACAGTGCCTACAGGAAATCGGTGGGACTGGCCATTCCCACTGGGGTCCCGGCAGCTGTTTCTGCAGAGAAAAATTGTCAGTGAGTTCACATTCAAAATAAAAAGGTGAACTGCCATACGCTGCTGGGAAGAAAGGAGACTGGCCTTTCTTCTCAGAGAACAAGAACAATAAAAAATATTTATCTCAAAACCTGAAAGGGATATATAACAGTTCATTCTGTTAAATCTTGCCAAAGTTACAAAGTGAACATAAAAAATGGTCTTATAATAGGAAGTGTCAGGCTGTCTTGGCAGTAGCTGGTACTGCCAACCCCACCTCTAGGACATAATTGCCTTTGGAGGCTTAATTTGTCTGTAAATATTTCTCCTACATTGAATTATATGGAAAGTCAGACCAGGATTTAACACATTTTACATGCAAAATAAAATTGAATCATGATAAAGTTTGCAGACTATATGTCAGTTTCAGAAACAGAATCTCAAGTTTCTTGGGGAGGTAAAAGTAGTTTGTGACCTTGGAAACAGCTGTTACCTGCTGTTCTTTCCCCTAAGCTTAAATTTTGCCATGGCAATTGAGGTTGCAGTCATCTGTCACTTGTTACACAGAAACAGACTTTGTTTTCTGGAAATGATATTGTAGAGGCATTTGGACTCATAATGTGCCTGCCTTTTTTTCCAGAGAGGCCATCAGTCTACTCTGCTGAGTGTCACTGGGTGCATGTCACTGCCTGTAGTGTTTAAGACTTTCAGTGCCATCCTGCTTCTGAGAACAACTTGCTATAAAGGCCAGCCAGACTCTTGGTAGAAGCTGTAAAACCACCTCAACATCCTCCACAAGAATGAAACAGCACTGGGGTTTTCCTCCTAACATATATTTTAAAATTCCAAACAGAACACCAACAGACAGAAATATTCTAGGGAAACCACCACGTAGAGCAGGCTGTTTGTATGATAAAACTACAAGGTTCAAGGTGAGACGAAGCCGAGCCTTTGCAGCTGGGCTGCGCTCGGGTGGTGGTTCTAGTGGGAAGGGGTGTCGGTAATGCAGCGATGGATAGCAAGCTGGAAAGTTCAAATTGGCCCAGCAGGTACAGCAGGAGGAATGGCTCTATCACGTCTGAATCGAATCCAGCTTTTTCTGTGTTGAAGTTATAAAATCAACAGAAATAATATTATGATAAACTGCGGCCATAAAGTAAATTAAATCTGACTAAAAAGTGAGTTGTGTGAACAATGCTACCTTGATAGCTTCTTAGATCTATTAACTTTCTATTCACAGCCCCACATAAAGTAAATCCAGGCTTTCGGAAAGTTTCTTCTGACGTCTTGCCCAAAGCAAAAGTCTAGAAATAGGACTAAACATTATCACCATGGTAAATCAGGGAGCCCTTGCAGAAACAATAGCCTTTTCTGAGTGGCCATGTTGACTATAGATTCCCAGAGGGCATAGGTATCTTGGGAAATTCTCAAGACTCACTTTATTTTCCACTGGCTTCCAATATTTCGAGAAGAATTCCTTATAGAAGCTTAGCATTGCGGGAGGATGGGGCTTTTCTATAATGAGAGTTTGCTGTAAAGTCTGTCAGAAGTTTTTTTCTGATGAAAAAAATATTCCTTGTTAAGTGTTATGATCATATATGAAAGATTCTTTTAGTGCTGGGCAGAGTAGAGGTCTCTGAGTTGCAGAGTAGGCAAAAGTTTCACTACTTCCATTTTTCAAGGTTTGTATCACCGGATTATTTTTGCTGGTATTTCTAGACTAAAAAGTATGTAATTTCTCATGTTCGTTATCCTTGTAGGTCAGACTTTCAGGAGGATACTTTTTTTTTTTTTAGTGAATGAGTGCTATCATCTACCATTTTTTTTGTTGCATTCTGATATGGGAAGCTTTAATTCAGGAAGACAAATAAAGAAATCCAGGTTGGCAATACCTGATTTGACAATACTCCAAGTGGTATTGCAGGGCAGTGTCATCCTTACCTCTTTATTATTGTAAAGCTTGTCTTTTCTCTGCCTTGCAACTTCAATTTCATCATAGCATTTAATCTTGGATTTTCAAGTCTTTTGTATGGGAAAAGTATATATAATTGGCTTCTTCTGAAACCGCTAGCATATTTTTGAATAATTTTGTGTTGCTGAAATGATCAGGCATTATTAACTCAAATGAGTGAAGTTCCCTATCTACAGAAGTTCTTTGACAGCAATTAAAATTCAGGAGGTTTGGATTGCATAAAGGTGCCAATTCCTTTGGAAGTTATGGCCAGCTTTTTTCTCCAATATTTGCTCTTTTTTGCCTTAAGTATCTAATCATCTGTTAAAATTACACCCATGTTTTAATATATGTGGCTAACTATCCTTTAGATGGTAAAACCTAACTAATAAAACTTTGTAACTACAAGTATATGTCAGTTTGCAATCTGTGAATTGAAAGTCAAAATCTTTGTGTATTATAGTAACTTACCCTCCCTTCCCACTACAAACATTTACTTATTTATTCATTTATTTTCGTGCAATTATTCATCATGGCATGATCTTTACCAGAAAAGGGATCACTGGGAGCATTTATTTATGCCATCATTCAAAAGAGATGCTGAGCTATAAACATTGCCACAAGAGAAATAGCTGAGCCCCAAAATTAAATGCACATGTCAGAATATCCTTCTTCGACTTGCTTTGACACTGAACATAAACTCTTCATGTGAGTGTTAGCACAAAGCACTAAACTTCTGGAAAGCAAAATCTGCATGTAAGTATTTCTATATGTTTTTGTGTTATTTTTGGCTGATTGCTGGCATACTCCTATTCTTTCTGATCACAGAATGTACAAGAGGTGATGGGCCACATGCTGTAGGGCCCACTATCTGACAGTTGTTCAGCAGACATAAACCAGTGTACTCAAGTTTCCCACATGAAACGTATCTCCAAGATTCAACATTTTTTTTTTTTTATTAAGTGATGACTTCTGCAAAGAGCAAGACCCACGTTATTTCTCTCTGAGGCCAAGCTATCCTGTTGCCTTGTCTTCTGTCAACTTTTATCCCAACAAGAGTGCCTGTTCTTCTGAGCAGAGTAGCCCAGGTGTTAATCTGATACCTTGTCATTTGTTTTATATCACCTGGAATTGGATTTTAAACTATTACTCATGCTGTGTGTGTACTGGGATCATTTCTGGAATAATGTGCTATTCAATATGAGTAATAGTGTTAGAATTTGGCATCTTCTTGGGAGAAAGAGCATATCTTTTACTTTCTCTTTTTTCTAGTAGACAGTAAAACAAAGAATTGTGTTTCCTGTCATAAACCTGAACAAATAGGATTATTCACCAAAATCTGTACAGGGCTTACTTGAAGGACTGAGACCCAAGGTTTTAATGTGCTTAAGGCCTTTTATATAAGTGTTTTAAATAATTAACCACCATTTATTTTTATGCATCTCTAATCACATTTTATCATTCAGAAGTTTTCTGTTCAGTATCTTTTCACAAATATGAAATATTAAAAAGATTAATTTTGCATTTCATCAGAACTTCATTTGACTTTGTAGATTGAAGTTTTCCAATGTTGATCTATAAGCAAACATCTTGAGATGGTATAGGCAGAGTAAATATTTAGAAAATAACGCTGTATATTGCAGTAGCTGTGAATTGAGAATTAAGTGATACTCATTTCATTTTGAGTGTTGATGTTAAATTTAAATGCCTGGGAGTTCATGAGTGCACATATTAAAATTTGTATCAGATACATGCAGTCACCCAGTTTTGTGTTTTAGTCCAGTGTTGAGTTTAAAAAGAATAAAGATCCTGGTACACAAAGTAAAAGTACTCCATGTTTCAGTGTGTGGTACCTATTTCAATCATAGTAACATTACCTGATTCTTGCCAGATGAGCTCTCAGTTCCAAGCAAGGTCCGTAACTTCATGGACATAAGTCAGATGTTAGAAACCCCCACTTATTGTATCCCTGAGACCCTTAAAAGCAAAAAAGACATGAGGTGTAAGAGCTGGTAATTCTGTTAATTTCAATACTCTTGATAAATCTGATAGAATTGTGGTTTTGATGAGTGAAGGGGAGCTATTTGTAAGTACAGTAGGTATACTTTTGAACTTCTGTATGCTCTTCTTGCTGAATATCTCTCTAGATAACCACTAAAAGGCACATATTCTTCCTATCTTCCTCCTTCCAGTGTGATGACATATGTCTGGAATAAAACACTAACAATTTTCTTACTGTGACTGGTTGTGTCCTTCCAGAAATCTAAGCAACAATAAGATCAAGGAAATACGAGAAGGCACATTTGATGGAGCTTCAGGAGTGCAGGAACTGATTCTGACAGAGAATCAACTGGAATCGGTGCATGGACGAATGTTTAGAGGCCTTGCAGGGCTAAAGACCTTGTAAGTACAGAGCCCTGTCTTTCTCTGTTCCTTTATAAGTTGAGTGGGAGTGATCAAGTTCAGCAGTGCCTGCTAAAATATCTGTTACTAGACAACAAGCTGTAAGTCAGGGCGTACTGTCACTGTCATGAAATCTTCAATATATTTCGTGAAATCTTCAATATATTTCCAGTCCTGGGTAAGTTTAAGACTTATCTGATATTTCTGTGAAAAAACAGATTTTCAAGAATTTTAGGAGTAACATGATGGTGAACCTGTCGTGGGTTAAATTTTGGGAATTCTAATCGTTTAATACTTTCATTATTTTGTTATTTCCTATGGAAACAAGGCATGTAGGAACATCTTTGCTGTCTATTAGTCCACCCTCACACTCCACATCCACCTGATTTGGAATTGTTGGTCTGCTTAAACCAAGCCTCAGAGTAGGCTAGGAGCCTAAAAGATTTTTAATATCCAACAAGCTATATGAAATTGGTAGTATAGGAAGAAAAGACTCAAGTTATTGCTGCCACCAAAACAGGTATAGCTAAGCAACTTTAAGGCATGCATAATCTCACTGTTACAGGTCCTGCTGTCAGAACATAGCTGACCACTCACTCCACAATAAGTACAGTAGCCCACAAGCACAGGCATGGCTTTGAACTAGCCACAGCATGCTCTTTCTTGCCCACAACAAGTACCATAAAAAGTCTGTCTGGGTATACTATTAATGTGGTTGTGGTTGGCAAGAGTGTGAAGGAGACATAGAACCCAAATGCATAAGAAATCAGTTTGGTATTACTTTTATGCTTAGACAACCGTTGTAATTTATTTCTGAGATCTAACACACTTAAATTCATAGTACCTAACACTAATTTATTTTCACGTTAAAAGTTAGATTGGAAGAAGGGTCACAGACAAGATTTCAAGGTGGTGTCCGATCCACCCCATTCCCCATCCTGAGAAGCAGTCAGGGACTAGCTTCTGGTAACAGCGAAGAGTCATGCCAGATGATATGTACGACCTGTATGTGAAAAATACCTCTCTGGTATAGTCTTCCCTGCTGTAGAAAGAAAACACTCGACTAGGTGGATGATGTCAGTAAAGAAACTCTATGAATCAAAGTGCAATTTAAAATCTGCAATTTATTCATTAGCAGAAAATACTTCTTATGTTGCAAAATATCATGGTACAATTACTTCAGTCCTTCCTCAAAGCATAAAAAGGAACCCAAGTTTCACTTCAAGGACTTTGGCCTGTAATGACAAATGGGGAACTTTTCTTTTTCTGTTCCTTTAACATTTTTTTTCTGTGGTTACAGCCATCTGTTCTTTAATTCAATGTATGCACTTTACTAAGGGATTTGAAGCTACTGTCCATAGATACTAAATTCATTTTTATACTGTAAAGTGGCCTATGGCAGTGCTCCTAAACAAAATTCAGCATTTTTTAATAAAAAGATGCTTAACATTCAAGCTATCCTGCTGACCTGACCTATATTTCCCCCTAGCTGATAAAGCAATCTAAATATACACAGCATGATACGAAGATCTGTAAGTATAAGTTTTCCTTCAGGAAGGAGGGCACACAGTGCATTGGTGAACCATGATACAAACCCAAAGGTTTTGGCTTGAGGGAAATACATTTCTATTCATTAATTGACTTTCTTTGAGCGTTAGATTTGTGATCTTTTACAAAGAGGCCACATCGGTCATGATTGTGGTCCAGTTCTTAGAAGACTGTATGTTTCCTGAAGTGTAATAAATCGTTGTGCAAGAAACATGGGCATCCAAATTCGGTGATCCCATTTTGTAGTACTGCTGCCTGATACTTTACATACAGAATTGTATGTAAAGTACAACTACTACTGCTACTACTACTACTGCTACTAAGCCACTAAGGCCCTTATTTCTCTTATTTACTACCCTATTCATTTCAGAACTTGTGATCTTGACCTGGCTTTCAGGCAGCTTAGTATTCCACGTGTAAGGTGTGTGTCTCAGTGCCCTGTGACTCTTTTCTGGCACAGTTTCACCCCAGTTGCAATACCAGATCTGTTGAGACCATAGTGCCTGTGGTGATAACTGTACGTAGAGAATAGTAATGCAAAAGCAATGTAATGTTCAGGTCTGAAACACGAAATGTCTGTGATGACACTGTGAATTTCTTCCCAGCCATATCTAATCTCTCTTTGGCATTTTTCAAGTATCTACTGATGCAGCATCTAAATGCCCAGCTGGCGGATACCAATATGAGATTTAAATCCAGACTTCTAAGGGAGTCTGAATTTTCATTGTTCACTGCTTGAATTTGATAGCAAGGAATTAATCCTCTTCAATTTGGAGGATCATTTCACTGGAACAGCAGCATCAGCAGCATATATTTTGTGTATTTTTGGTGGTGTGGTTTAATTACTGTATTATTTTTCACCTAAGTAGGAATATCACAACTGTGCAGTGATGTTTACAGACCCAGATTTTGATTGCATGCAGTGTTACAAATACACATGAGCCTTTTTTGCTATGGAGTGAAACAAGATACTACAGTCTTTCATATTAATTGGGCTTTATCATCGAGTTCATTGTTACCATAACAACTCAGGGAGATGTATCTTCCAAAACACAGCACTGATTCATCTGGTACAAGCACTGAGCAAAGACCATTTTGTAGAATGGTTACTGCTTTCTGTCTTGTCAATTAATGATTATAATGACATTGCAGAGCTTGTGTTAGTTCTGGAAATCTTTCCTAAGCTATTCCTTGATTTCTGCTGAGGATGCTGTTTCCTTCCGTACTTTTGAAGGGTGGATTACAAAAAACATCCGTGATAGGAGTAGGAGTAATTCAGCTAGTATTGTTACTGTCATACATTTCTGGCAATCTTTCTCAACTGGTCTATGAAATACATCTTCACTTACTCTCAGATATTTACCAGATTAAGACTTTATTTTTTATTTCAAATTTGCCACTAGTCATAATTTTGATTGCATACTACTTTCAGATGTGGAGCTCCCATCAGCTTCTAATGTTGTATGGATGAAATGCATTTTAAATTCATAAGAAAGTGTTTACATGAGTCTAGCCCTCCTATAGCTGTGTTGAACTTCAGCAATCAATAAAAATAGAGTACAGTGCTTGCCAAAGCATCTGTTGATGCCCTAGATAAAGGACCTCCTATCCTGAAATTATACCCCCTCCCAGTAATTCCTAATTCCCTGTTGTAATCCTTGCAGGATGCTGAGGAGCAACTCTATCAGCTGTATAAACAATGACACCTTTGCTGGACTGAGTTCAGTGAGGCTTCTTTCTCTGTATGACAATCACATCAGCACAATCACCCCTGGAGCCTTCAGCACATTAGTCTCTTTGTCTACAATGTAAGTTATCTTTTTATGATACAAACATGTCACAATGCTGTTATTCTGTGCTTTCCTTTTAAGACAACGTTTGAGTTTTAAAATTAAACTACGTAATGTTTAAATGTGGAAAACTTCATTTAGGGGAAGAAAACCCCATCCTACTGAAATCTCAGGTTTGGAGGATTCAAGGTGTGATTTAGAAAAACATTTGAATTGCTTCAGCTGAAGTGGCTGAAAAATCTTTGAGGTTGCCAGCATCAGGCAGGATGACTGTATGTTTTGCTGTGTCATAGCCTAGTGCAGTGCACAGTATAAGTTCATGTAAAACAATCTCTGCAGATTCAGAAATGCAGAGCTTATCATACACTTCAGCTCCCTGAAGCTGCTTTAGTTTCACTAGAGTCTAGTTTTGTAAGAACAGCTTTCTTGGATTTCATTTAAACTTGTTAAATATCAGAAGAAATCTACCCGCTAATGCTTACATTTTCAGAAGAGCCTAAGAGGACAAAATACTCAACTCCTGCTGAATGTGAATTTGAAAATTGACATTTGAAAATTGCCACCTATTTCTGATAATTCTCTTATACTTCTCAATCCTTCTTTGAGGTATTTCCCTTGATTCTTAAATACGCTTACATGCTTCTTGTAGTGCGTCCATTTTAATAAAGTACAGACTGATAAATATAGAAAGAAAATCTGTTCTTTGTTTCCAGCTGTGAATGGGAACCCTGATGTTGCTGTTAATGGAAGTTGTCTGCTTACTTCCCTGCACGCTGCCTTGAAAATACACCCTAATTGTCCAGTCAAAATAAACTACTGGTGCTATTGCATTTCAGGTTTTGAAAGTATTCTCCATCATGTTTAAGAGAAGAAAGAAGTCTTGAATCTCTGCTATTTTGTTCTTCCATTTTGTTGTTCTAACTTTTCACCAGCGAATCAGTTATCATTTTGATGTTAGATCCATGCAGCCTAAAGAACCTAGACTTTTCTTCCATTTACTTTCTGTAGTCCCAGAAGTGTCCTTGAAATTGATGGACAAAGAGAGAAACACAACCAGATTATTGACTGTTTTCAAGTCACTGGTCAAAGCGAGTGGTCCTTTTTGAAAAGCTCGTTCTTGCTGTGTTGCAAGCAATGCCTGCCTGCCTCTGCCGCAATTGTGCTTCCTTCCATGGATCCCTTAATATCTGTGTCTCTCTGAATCAGTCTATAAAGTCCCTACCTTGTTTGCATAGAAGTGTCTTTGTCATGTTTTGTTAGAAGATAACCCATTTTCCTTTTTTTTCAGCTATGGATAAAGATTATTACAATTTCTAGCAACAGCAATTAAAGGTGCTGCTAATTAGAATGCATTGCTTTGGCACTGACTTATGATCATGTTGGTCATGGCAGGCTCCTGGCTGTGTCTTGATGAAAAAGTTTATTCTTTGACACGTTTTCACTGTGCATATTCTACAGGCAGAAGGTGTGCTTTTGACTTCTCTGGACATCAGCTTAAGGTCATAGAAAAATTTCACATATAAATGCAAAATTCGGATGTGTTCATTTCCTAGCAGTGCTCCCTTGTAGGTGGATATATTAGATGACAACACTACTGAAGATAGATAGTATGACTGTTTTTCCTGTTCAACCCACACTTTGTAAGTTAATCTGGCATTGCAATGACTTATTTTTGTATCTATTAATGTGAGCCAGAAATTCATATAAAGTTTAACATTTCCATTTTTATCTTGGCATATTTACAACACTAAAAAATATTGTTCCTTTTGTTATTATTCTTTGTGAGTCAGCCTCATTGATATTATCAAAACACGAACAGCTCTGAAAATAATGCCCTGACTAATGGTTTTCAGTAGAGGAAGAACATCTATTTTGTAAGTTGTTGGTAAAAAAATAGTTTTTTATTTGTTACTAGTCAAACTAGGTACTATAGCAACCTAAACTGAAGTGTGCTTGCACTTCTGCACAAAGAGAATTCAGTCCTTACACAGACAAGTGGGCATATTTACAAGCAGAACTGGTTTTCCATGAATTATTATTATAATAGCTGCATGGAGCTAATGCCAGAATGATAACAGGCTCATCAGAATGGCATGCAACTATTCTAGTATAAAAACCTGAATTCCAGAGTATATTTTCAACAATATCCAGTTGCATTTCGGCATATTTTTCTAACAGGTCACTAGAATCCATTTAAATAGTTAATATTCTATGGCTTCTTTGCAATTTTTAAGAGACACTTGTAGTAGGATATGCATATTTCATTCCTCAAGACTTCTATTCCCCCTTGATTTTAAATATATGTCTATGTCCTTGAGTAAACACTTCTGAATTTAATATTAGTATGATATCTTTGCTAAAAGCCTGATTGCTATGTTTCTGTTTGAGTGGTTAAATCACTGTGTTACGTGTAGGAACACTGATTAGTAATTATGAGTTTTTATAACAATTTGTCTACCCAACATTACTGTTTGTGGTTTAAGAACTCCACTTGAATAACCAGATTCTGGAATAAAGCTTTTGCAAATAATTGTCTTTTCCAAACTTTCAATTGCCTTTCAAGTGAAGTATGGAATCTCTTTTCCCTTGTGATACTTTATGGAGGGCCTTGTTCTTACATTTTTTTCCAATAGTTGCATCACAGTCTTGCCATGAAAAGAGTATGTATGTAGGGACATGTATGTACTTAATACCACATTAAAACAAAAAATCATTGCTCTGCAGTTGGACAAAGAACAAAATTCATGTGTTGCTGAAGTGGTGGGAAGACATATGTATGATGAAATAAATTAGTCTTTTTTTACCCTGTTACATGAATGTCAAAACTGTAGATTTGTATATTTATTAATTTTATATGTAACAACTTAATTCTTTCTTAGTTCCTGCAAAAAGCATGATCCAAATTCTAATCCAAGGATTTAATAAATTTTAGGTCATATGTTAACCTGTGTTTGCCAAGAAGAAAATGAGGGCTTGTGGATAGTTACTGCTGCTCAGCTAGTGAGCAGTAACACATTAAATCAAAGCAACCTCCCCTCTGCAGAAAGGGATAATTTCTATTTTGATGGGAGCATTTTGTAGATCAAATGTTTGAATGTTTCTGAAAGTTTTTGATATGTCTCAGTAAGATGCTCTCTAGATGTGCAAAATGTTCTTTACGTTCAGAGCTGCTGGTTTTCCAGAAACCTGATTATATACACCTGCTCTTTGTTTCCAATTGTGGATTATTTCATTATAAGGATTTGTGTCACGGAAGTTGTTCTGTGAATATGATCTCACCCTTTTCCATCAGTGGAACAAATGGCCTTTGACGCATTGGTTCACTTAGCATTGGAGGTTTGAACACACTATTCATGCCAAAGTATGTCAGTATGGAAAATATACAAGGCATCCTGCATGTGGTCTCATTATGGATTAAAGAAAATGGAAAACAATTCAGGAGGAAAGTAACTAGAATTAGAGTAATGCTTTCAATGTTTTTCTGCACATTCTGTCTGAAAGCTCCTGTGTAACCTGTTTGTTTTCTCACCTTTATACAGCAAGTTAGCCTTGCCTTTGAATCCTAGTCAGCATGAAGTAGCTTGAATATTTTCATTATTGAACATTATGCTGAGTTTTCTCCTCCCCCCCCAGCTCTCCCTCTCCACAATGTACAATAGTCTGTGCTAGATCCACACGTAATTACACACCCAGAGCTCCAGGCTAGCACAGTAATTGAAGTATGCTTTTTTACAATTCAGAGAGCAGCTGTAAATCATATTGTGGGTATGTGATGTTGGCCTAGAACCTATGTAATTTAGGAATGGGTTTGGGTTTGTTTTCTTGCTGCCACACCTCAACTGTGCCATATGTTTTTGTCTTCAGCACTATTGTTTTCTGGAGGAATTGCTTGGATGAAAACCTAATGTGATTTTGGCTACACATTTAGGTTTGTGAAAGTATGTTGCAAGTGAAGACTTATGAGGTCTTCAGCTACTACACTTGCATTTGAAGTGTCTGTTTCTTTAGGGCCTTACATTTTTTTGTTTTAAAGATATGCGATGCTTTAGAGAAATGTCATTATCGTCTTTTTTTCTGTACTACCAAAATAAGAACTTTCAGATAGATTCACATGTGATGTGTTAGTTTGAATACTTCATTTTCCATACATCGGGCTCTGACAGCTCATTCTTCTTTGATGAGGCAACCTCAGACTGAAGCTATTGTTTGTCCCTGTCTTTGTGCATAAGATAGTCAGCTGCCTTTTCTTACCAGGGATATCAGCCTCTTTTCTTCATCTCAAGTTTAGTCCTAAAAAAGCCTACACACAAATTATGGATAGGCATTTCAGTACAGGACTCCAGAAAAAAAAGTTTTTTTCCAAGATTCTTAGCATTAATTTAGTTAGCTTAGAAAGATAGTTGCTTAAAATAACTGTCACTTTACACTCCTTTCATTCAAAGGATCACAACCTATTAAGAAATAGAAATTACTTTTCTATACTGACTATCTATGTTACAGGTGCTCTACTGAGAAATTGCTATACATCTATGTTTTCATGGCTTGCAACAGGTTGGAGAGGGCTTTCCTTTCTTAAACACTGCTAACCCCAGTTACGTTAAGAATCAATCCCTCTCACAGAGGCTGTCAAATGAATGCTTTGGGTACTGTGCACCACAGCACTGAAGCGAGGCTGCAGCTGTATTTGAAAGATATTTCGGGAGCTGTAGTAAGATCTGATGCCGACCTCACAAAGTTCACAAGGCTGTAGAGCAGGTGCTTTTCACTCCAGATATACTGACCTTAGAAAGCTTCATAAAAAGTGGCTCAAGCTGACAGTGCTGCTTTATAGATGTATGTGTGTACATACAGAGTGCTATCCTTACTATTTCAGTAGGAAGCCCAAGTTGAGGTTGCCAGTGGCTCCCACCTGGCACTCGTTTGCGTGGGCCGTAACAGGCGAGTGGAAAGCACGAGTGTACTGGGGCAAGGAGCTGCGTGCTAAGGCAGCGTGGCTGTACGCACAGGGAGTAGGTCTGTGCTAAGGGCTAGTGGTGCTCACCTCTTCCATGGCATTCCCTGAAGTAATGACACTGAAGATCATGCATACGTGAGTGCACTGTGTGTGGTGAGTTTAGACTTGGGTGTGATCTGTAGCTTGGGTTAAAATCCACTATAAATAGAGCCCTGGTAGTGGTTACGTGTGTCTAAATAATAGTTGTAGCAGTAAGTAGTTTGGTTTATAAACATATGTAGATATATATATATATATATGCATATATATATGTATTTTAATTACAACCCTAGTCCTAGTATAAAACCTGCATAGAACTTGCCTGATCTGTAGACCAGAGGAGGAGCTCACAGAAACAAATGGGAGGAAAGCACTTGGACTTGGAACCTATCATCTTTCTGTAGTTATTTCAGTATTTTTGTATGTTCGTGTTCAATGCAATTATGTCTTGTTCCATTTCAGCAATTTGCTGGCTAACTCCTTTAATTGTAACTGCCATTTGGCCTGGCTGGGAAAATGGCTGAGGAAGAAGAGAATTGTCAGTGGAAATCCACGCTGTTTGAAACCCTTTTTCTTAAAGGATATTCCAATTCAAGATGTAGATGTTCAGGACTTCACCTGCGATGGTAAGAAAATCCATTTCGATTTGGCATTTATGGTAATGTTGGCACCTCCATTCCTATCAAGAAATACTGCATGGTAAACATTTCAGATTAATGATGAAGAAGACAGCCATCTAGAGCTGAAGATCATTGTTCCCTATCAGCAGTTTATTTTTATTCTTGCTTTCCAGTTTCTGAATTTGTACTATCTACACCTAAAAATAAGAATACATTTAGTATAGACAAATGTTCTGCTTTGTATAATCCTGGCCCTTCCTCCCACTTCCTTATTCATACACTTAGTTAACAGTCTGAGGCCAGTGGGAATGGTTCGTGCTTGGAAAGTCTTTTATTTTTGGATACTGTTCAGTTTTACCAATAGCAGGTATGAATACAGGGAAATAAAAAACCTTAGATATTATTTGAAATGACTCAGTGATGCTTAATGCTTTGCTGGGTCCATATAGGTTTAAAAAAAAAAAAAAAAAAAAAAAAAAAAAACCAAAACCAAAACCCAAAACCAAACAAACAGAAAACAAAAAACAAAACAACAAAAAAACCCCTGATGTTTCATTCATTCTCCAGGTAGTTCTTTGTCTTCTGATGAAGCAGACTTTAGAAAAAAATAGTAAGGATAAAAATTGACTGATGAATGCACTGCTAACTTGACTTATAGGCTGTGATTGCCTGTTAAGACCAGATATGCTGGAGCTGCAGTTAGTCATACCTCTAAAGAGACCATAGGAGTGATAGAAGTTTCCTACTTAAAGTAGAAAATAATTCCTGTCCTAGTCAAGCAATGTGGCAACAAGCCCAGGTGCTTGGGCTCAGAGCTCAGGGGACCCAAGTTTAGTCATTAAAGAATAATTCTCTTTTAGTTTGTGAGAAAAAAAAAAAAAAAATCCTGATCCACAAACTGACATTCCATGCTTGGGAGCTTTCTCTCTCATACAATCACTCTGATAGCCGCAGTGAATGGAAGGTGGATGGTGGCAGGGTGTAAAACACAGAACACAGGGGGAAATTGAATATGCTGAAGAAACATGCTCTTTCTGCAGGTTTCTGAAAGACTTTGAATTTTGGTTCCAGTCGTTAAGCTCATTAAGCTCAGTGGGGGATAAAGAGAAAAAAAATCTGCCCTGTCGGCTGGTCGTGCTTCTCCATCCCTCTGAATACAAATGATTCCCTACCCATACATTTATGGGTAATTGTGTTATCTTGTATCAGGATTTCCAGTCTTACTCTTTAATCTCAGTGCTCATGGGTACACCCAGCAGAGAGAAGAAAGAAACAGATCTGTCTCAATTAGTTCTTGAATCAGTTTAAAAAAAAAAAAAAAAAAAAAAAGGCAGCACATAATGACAGCTGGCTGTGTGCTCTTGGATTGCAGCACTGTGTCTGTGGGGCTGGTCAGCTCAGGCTGCCTGTACTCACCAACAGTTGTGTTGTTCCTCTCACTGTCATCTTCAGAATGTGCCACTAAGTGTTTCCTTTCGTATACGTCGTGATACTGTAGCCTGCATTTGCCTTGTGTTTTGCAAAGCCTGTTGCTTTTGGGGAAAATCCATGCTTTAATGTTCTTAACTTCAAAGAGTTGGTTTCTTCTGCAGAAACCCTATTGTTCTTCAATTACAAGATTTAATCTGCTGTTTATGGACCTTTGAAACCGTTTTTGGAGAAAGTAGATACTTTTATGTGTGCAACAGATGGATTGCCAGCAGTTGGAAGTATGCTGCTCAGTTTGTTGTTTGCCTGGTTATCCTTGTCAAAAACAATGAGTTTTTACAATTCAGATGATAAATGAAGTGCCAGGCTGACTTTGAAAAGTAAAAAATTAACATCTAAAAGCTGAATTTTAAAAAAAGTCTTCCTAAAGCAGAGTAGATAGTGAATCACATCTGTCAGGATTAACTTAAGGGCAATATTCTGGTCAGGTTCTCCATTTCAGCTAGTACATTGGGGGTGGGGGAAGGATTTGGGATTCGCATAACTGATTTTACTGTAATTTGCAAAATTACAGAGAATTAGATACTCGTTAGGAAAAAAAATACGTTAAAATATTGCTATTCAGTTTTTGAACTTTTGTTCCTGTTTGTTGCCTAAAGAACCAGTATGAAGGCAGGTAGATCTGTAGCCTTGAATCTACTTTAAAATATTGTGAACGTTATGATGGATTCGGGGATGTCCCTCCTTGGTCCATATAAGCAGTCATCTTCAAAGTGCATGACTTTGGGCTGTAAAGCTGACTTCCTAATACTCCATTTCTCTCCCTCTGTAGGTAATGATGAAAGTAGCTGCTTGCTTTCACCTCCTTGTCCTTCCCAGTGTACTTGTGTGGACTCGGTGGTACGCTGCAGCAACAAAGGGCTGCGGATATTGCCCAAAGGAATTCCCAAAGACGTGACTGAGTTGTAAGTTACCTTTTACATAGCTCCTTTCATGAGAAGTTCATGAAATTACATCATAATGAGGCTTTGTAGGTCCTTGGGGGGGTTGCCTTTGACTTTAGTGGCTGGTGTTTTGTGCTTTGGTGCTTTCCATATGTTTTGACCATTATTTTTATACTTACTTGTCCCTTGACTGAATACATTGCTCTGTAATGGGAACAGAGTTTATCTGTCCTTGTACCCATTAATTCCATGTGTAGGGAACAAATGCATATATTAGTATTGAATAATCCTGTAGTGCTTCTGAAAAACCTAAGCTCACAACAGGCAGTTTGAAGGGATGATGAAAATAAGTTCCTAACTTACGCAGCTGTGATCTAATTATCCTCTGAGGAGATTAAAAAAAAGAAAAAATAAAAAGAAAGCCAGTGGTAGAAATAAACAATGAATTCTTTTCTCCAAACCTCATGTAATGGCTAAAATAACGGATAATTAGATTAAATTGTAAAGTAAATTCATCATAGTTGAGAACCATCTTTCAAGTCATCTTTTTATCCACCCCCCGCAGTGACTTTATGGTGGGTATCAGTTCTTTCCATGGAAGTAAGATACACTCGGTTTAAACAGTTGGCAGCAGAAATACTGAGCTTTTCCCCTTTAGGTCCTTATTCAAATCTATCCCAGGTGAGTCGTTACTGAAACTTGTTACAATCTCATCAGCATTTCTGTGTGAAAGTAATTGATCGAGTTAGTTGGTATGTTCAGTGAATTTTGTAACAAATTAAAATCTGATTCTGCTATTTTTTAGAATCTAGTATTATTTTTACTATTTAGTAATAGGGCAGCTGATTAACGAGATACATGTCTTTTTACTCCCTTCACAGTGGGAGAATGGGGTTTCTACCAGTGTTATAGTCAAATACAAGACTTTGTTGCTGAATGAGGAGTGTACTGAAAGTGTATATGGTAACTCAAATTAACATGGAAATTTTGCATTAATGAATACATCCTTGGAACACTGTTAACCAAGGCATGGTTAATAGTGGTTTGAATTAAAAGCAAAGTCCTGGCCTGTATTCCCTTATATATTGCCATCAGTAATAAAAAGTCTGCAAGGTGGTTTCTGCTCTGTTCTTGTTCAGGTTTCATTGCATTCAAATATGACTTGCCAACAATAAGATATCACAGATGTTACTTTGATTTCCACTGCCACACTGAGGAATTTTTATGTCTAAATTTTGCATATTGAGTTTTACTGATACTATCTGATACACTGACAACGTATCTTTCACAAAAAGAGTGAAATTAATCTCACATTCTTGAAAACTGCTATATTTCTTAAGCTCTTTCTTGGCAAATGAGGCAATAGCCTGGAACAGAGCAGTTTGAGTTCATAAGAGTTTACGTGACTGTCTTCTTCAGCAGGAGCCTCTTGGCTGTGCAAGCCTCTAGTTCGGCTTTCTGCATTCAATCCAGAAATGTGTCAGCAGAACACAGTCAGCCATGGACTGGCTGGCTCTGAATATTTCATGTTCTGCAAATATAACCTTGAATCTGTCCCAGCTGTCTCAAAATTCAATCCTGATCTCACTCAACCAACATAAACTGAGCTCCTTATTTGTATGTATAGCAAAAGATGAGCTGCAGGTACTGCAGCTGAAAATTTCATGTGTTTGTGGAAACTGTGAGAAGAATGAAATAAAAAAAAAAAAAAAAATCAATCTTACTTGCCTTCCTTCTGCTTCCATATTGAGATAAAGATGTTGCCCATAATCTAAAATGGATTATATCATCTAGGTCCCAAGTTGCCAGTGTGAACCTAAGTATTTTTATTGTTCTGTGTTTGAGAATTGTCATTGCTGCTGTGGTAAACAGCATCTCCTGTGGAACCCCACCTCGTGCCTCATTTTCAGGACAGCTAAAACTTGGCAGAGAGAACCCAATAGCTTCCTGGGCACAGGGTAAAAGAGATTTCTCTTGTTCCATCTATTTACACTCCTCACATCAAAATACCCCCGTTTCCCTAAGGGATGCCTAGATGCTTTGAACTGTGTCCTAAGGCTGGCATATCTTCTTAAAACTGTTTTGTTTCTGGGGTAGCAGTGGATATCTGTTTAGCACTTGAAACAGGAAAGCGCCTCAGTTATGTGCTACAGAAGAAGTCGTGGCTTTAGCATGGCTAGAGAGAGCCAGCGCAGCCCCCGGGGCAGGGACACCTTCGCCCTTCTCGCTGGTACAGCGCTCACGGATGCTCAGAGAGATTAAAAGCCCTTCCCCCGTGTTACTGCAACCCGCGCTGCCTTTCTGCCCTTCCACGCTCTCGTGTCAGAGACCTCTGGGCAGTGTGCTGGGGCCTCGGTGCTCCCACCAGGCACCCACACAAACCCACGGTCACTAAGGACAGAGGGCAGGCCAAGGAGAGGACACGGCTGTAAGGAGCCTCTTGTCCTGGTAGCCCACAGCTTCCCGCCTGTGGGAGGCCTGAACGGTGATATGATGCAGGGGAACATTTTAGTGGAATTTTTGTGAATGCACCACTCTAACATTTATAAACTTCCATTATTGATGTATTCATTTACAAGGCACATTAGCTGCAGTGCTTTCTATTAAGATCCAGTGTGTTTTTATGCAACATGGTTTAAGAACTGACGTGTATCTAGATGAAGTGGTCTGCTATGACTGAATATAGCCTTCCCAGAAGTTCTTTTAAATTAAAATAGTCTTAGATATACTCTTAAAACAGGAAATCTTTCATTGTAACAGGTATTAAATAGCAATGTGCAAAAATTAACATACCTCTTGCACAGGGACATAGGGAAAATGTTACCTTTTCCTGGGTGAAATTTCACTGTACCTAAACTCAGCAAAAAGATCACCGGCAATGTTTTATTATAGTGGACTGGAGACATAGGCTCGTTCCTTCCAACTTTCTTCCTGAGTTTCTGTTTTGGAATTGTATATAGACAAAACATGTGAAAACCATTATCTCCTTCGTATTTAGAGCTTGGAATGACAGGAGACATCCCTGTGTTTGGTTTGTACCACCCCTGGGAGGAGGGATTACCTTGGCAGGGAAAGCTTCCATCTAGAATAGAGTTGAAAAGATCACTCAGTCTCCTGGCTTTTTAGAGGGATGATGATGCAAGAAATTTCTATTTCCCAGCTATTCCTTCACAAAACGCCATCATCATGGGCAAGCCTTCTTTCAGCTTCTTGGGAATAGGGAAATATTATGTTGTTTCTTGCAAATTCCTTTGCTGTATATTTACGTACTGCCTGCATTTTTTCCCACTGTTTGCCTGCTCTGAAGAGAAACCTCAGATTTTTGAACATACTCGTTTTTCTAGTCCAGATGTTCAGAAGTAAAATGTCCATGCAATGAGCTAGTTTGGAACTTAGCCTCACTGCTGCTTTGTGTTTTAGGCTTTCCTTTTCTTCTTTTTTTTTTTCCCCCAAATCTGCTTGAACGAGATTTCCCATGCTCTTTTTCCTTTTCCATATTACCTCAGTGTGTGAACACTAGTTTTTTCTTTTTTTCACAAAAGTATAGTCTATTTCTAATAAAGTCTTATCTGACAGCATCCAGCTGCTTTTATGGACCTACAGCAAATAATATTTTGCACTGGGGAAAAACATTGGAGGCAATTATATGGACGGCGTGTGCATAAGCTGTAACATAATGAGCATGGTGTATTTTAGAATAAATATGTACTAATCATGTCGTCTCTGGTCTCCAAATGTTGTCATGACAATGAGCTATATGATAGCACTGATGGGATTGTTAGGAAAACCTGCATCCATACATCATTGTTAGTGATTATTTTTCTTTCCATTTATATTAATGCATATTAATATTTGCATTACTTTTGCCATTTCTCTTTCTCTCCTCACAAACCTTCTCCCTCCCGTTTGTGTTTTTTGTTCTGCCTGTTAGGTTCATTTAGCCTGCAAGCTCATTCAGTACTTGGCACGACAATTTTCGCAAGTGGCTGACCCGCTTACTAGCAGAGCGATCCCACTGAACTGTTTTAGCTCTTTATTCCCCACCTCTAGTTTGCCGCCTGTTGCTGCCTTGGCCTTAGTATGGCACCTTTATTCAGCTGAATCTCCAGTTGCCAAGGTGATTTTGACAATTGCTTCCCATACATTTGCTGCCACATCCACTCAACCCTCCTTTCCATCTTCCGATGCACTTGTGATTTCTCTTGGCTTGTGACTAAAAATACTGGCTCATACCTGGGCCATGCAAATTGTTGCAATAAATATGTGTAAGCAGTTAGTTATGATACATGTAGAATATTGTAGTGCCATTTCTCAGTATGCCTGTATTGCTGTTGATCGAAGAGGTACCTCTGAAGTGAGATATCTGATGAAAATCATCTGCTTGAGAATGCAAATGCTTTTGCTTGTCTGGCAATTTGCGCTATTTTATACACTGACCCTTAGCACAGACTTCAGAGAATTTCCCTTTGATAATAAAGGAGAGACACAATTTAGATCAAAGCTTAGACTTACATGGTCTTGTGTTATAAAAGGTTTTACAGCCTGCTTAATTCACTGTGGAGGAAAATTCTTCCACTGACAGAATGGATAGTTCCGTAGAAGGATATTTTAGTTACAGCTGCATTTCATTTAGTTACTTAAATCTGCATTTCAAATCTGATAGTTTAAAAAAGTAAATAGCATCAATACTATCAAATAATGTGTTCAATAACTGTTGAAGTTTGAGTACTTATCGGAAAAGTGACTTTAGCACTAACTGAGACTAAAGGTAAGTTTAGCTTTAGGGCCTTCACTTTACTTTCAAACACAGCCATGTTTCTGTGTGTCAGACCTGTAAGTTGTGGTCTGATATACAAATACAGCAAAATCCAGAGTCCAAATCTGCTAAAACTTAAGGAAGTTCAAGATCCAAATTTGTACCTAGATCCATACTTGAATTTTGTTTCTTCTCAAGAAACTGTAATTGAAGCTCTTAAAATTGACGCTTTGTGGATGTTTCGTCTTTCACAGTCCAATTCTTTTCTAGACCACCATTTTTAGGAAATGAAACTTGCCTCAAGATTTTAGGATATTGGGTCTCTGCATTAAAAAGTTTAGACTATAACTTAATTATAGAGCCTTATAAAATTGTCAAGTATCATCTTTTTTGTAATGTATCATACTATATGAGCTATTTAAAGAAATTAAAGGAAAGGCTTTGTGCCTTTTCAGTTACTGCCTGAGAACTGATTTCTCTCTCCAGTTTCTTCTCTTAGCACAGATTGCCGCTGAGATCTTGACTTTATGGCTGAATAGACATTGCAGTACAAAAAAGGTTCCAAGTGATTCAAATCGTTACATGATGCTTTGGCACCTTGTGCTGGTTATATCACCTCCAATCCAAGTGGTTTCAGTATAAAAATAGACAAGTTGGAAAAATAACAGCTGTCATCTTTTATGCATAGTTTTAAATTTTTTATGTGTGGTGTTAGTGTGTGTGGAAGGTGCTGGATGAGCCCTGGAGCTGCTGCAGGCACTGGGATCTGAGAGCTGGCGCAGTTGGTGCAGGCACGGAACGAGGCACGGCCCCGCAGTGCCGGCCATCCTGGCCAAAGTGTTACCTGTCGCCAGAACTCAGTCGTGTCTTAGAAAAAGTCTTTGCTAGTAGATAGCAGGTGGCATTTTATGAGAACGTGAACACGTGTTTTGGTTGGTTGGTTGGTTGGGTTTTTTTTTTTTCAATTTTGGCTCTGGTAATTGCTTGTTGGTTACAAGTCATTATTAAGACTTTAGGATTCCCGGCAACATTCATGGGGTAGAAAACGATTTCCAATCTGCTATTTAAACTATAGAGTCTAGAGACTTTAGGAAGCAAATGAGGTTGTTTTGGATCCTAGTCAGTGTGTCTGTATTAAGGCAGCCGACACCCACTCTTGACTCTGACTGTCTGTATATTAATAACTTGATTCTGAGCATTAAAGTTGGGCATACATTTTTTTCATTCATGCCAGAATTTCTTTGCATGCCAGATGCCATGTACATCATCTTCCTTTGGCTAAGGATTGAAAAGAATGAAAAATACAATCTTCCCTCCACATCATTCTGCTATGGCTTGTTTGATTTTGTTTGGGCAGGGGGTCTGTGGCTTCATCCATGTTTGTTTGTTTATTTATATGCATACATAAATATGCAGAGTTTTGTAACTGGGCTATGCCCCTTCATCCTCAGGGATAATTCTGTTACTCACTATGTCCAGCTTCCAGCCCTCTCACAGCCCCATACATCACCTTCAGCCCAGTGAGGTGCAGAGCTGCTACCCCCACATCCCCCCCTGCTCGGACGAGGCCTGGCCCATGGTGGGCAGCAGCTCACCTGCAGCAGTCGGTTTCTTCAAATGTTGCATCTGAGATCTTCCTGTCTCTTGGCATGTTCCTATGCCCTAAAAGCTCTGGTTATTTCAAAATCATTGCACTTAAATGTGCTTTCAGAATGAATGACTTTTGCTTAAAAAATACTGACATTCTTTGTATAATGTGGTGAAAGGTTTAACAGTGGTGAATTGTTCTTATGCATGCATGAAAAGTATATTATCAGTAATTTTTCAGTGTAAAATTGTGTTTGTTCAGAAATTGTACCACTGGTATAAGTATTGCAGTTTTCTGCTAGCACATTTATATAACAATCAAATGGCTTGCAGTACAAATCCACAGCTATTCAAAGCAGATCTGCCGTAGGAGTTTAACTCCAGGGGTCTCCATGTCTACGTTGGTCTGAATAACGAAGCATTGGATTAAAATGTGCACCCTCAACTTTTGATTGCATCAGAAAGCAAAACAGGGGGGTAAACCTTGCCTAGCCATCATCAGGTTGTTCAAATTGCAGGCTGCTTCATATTGGGATCAACAAGAGAATATCCTGAAAATATATTTCTTAATATTTCAACACATTGCAAGAGTTGAGTGTCCTTTCCTAAAGGAAAATCATATATAACATCCAAATACATAATACATGACCTGCTTTTGATTTCCTTTGGAAATTCTTTGGATTTTACATTTGGAATAAAGACTGGACCCTTAACCTACCCTTATGCATGGGTTTAAGATTTGCAGCTTTCTGGGATGAAAGAGAAGGCTCAGACTTCCAGCAGCTAGCTGTGTCCATAGCAGACCATGACTGGGGAAATGAGACGTGATTTACCCTGTTTAAATAGTACTTACGTGGTTGAATTCTGAGGATCTTCTGTGTAACAATTTATGGTGTGAATTCACCAGGGAGCTCCATTTTCTAAATAATTTATGACAGATTTCATCAAAATGAAGCAAGTGACTTTACACTTGCTGAATACGAATATCCTTGGGAGGTGTAAATGTAGCATAGCTAACCCATTCCCTGGCTTGCGATAATCTGCATCAGCAGAGCCAGTGTTGCTACTTTGCAAGGGCTAACTGTTTACTAGGGAACACTGTCACTCGATGCTTGTGATCTCAGTGGATGGAGAGATTCATTTGTTCAGTGTCTGGGTGTTTTTTTTAATCAAGGAGGGATTTTGCTTTTGGCTAAATATTCAAAAACCCGTAGTCCTGCTTGTCCAGTCTAATCCTACCAGGAGCTAAATCAGCTCCACCGCATGCTCTAAGGTAACTCCGCCTTGATGGGAGCCCGTGCACAGGCAGAATGGGTAACCATGAGGCTGGGGTAGTACAGTTGGAGCAGTTTAGTTGAAAAGAGCTGAAGCAGCAGAAAATGTTGAGAGGGCATTATGCTGAAATAGAAAGGGGGGAAAAAATGTGGCAGTTATAAAATCTATTAGGTAAGAAATTCTGTTAGTGTTTATAGATTTTATTTTTAAATGATGTAAAAATAAAGTTTGTGGGAAAATTTTCTTGGATTTAGTTTACACAAATATCTCTGTGTTGTTACAATTAATGTAGAGAGGGAACATACAGCACAGTAATAATCTATTATTGTTGTTATTTGCTATAGTAAATGCAGAATAAGGAGGTCTGTTGCCAAAGAAAAGGAAATTGTATGTGTGGGATAAAAATTTTTAACATGATTATCGGATTATAGTTTCAGCAGTAGAGACAGCACATTAAGTGTTCTGGTGTCTGTGGGCTGCATTTCCTGGCTACACTTGATTATCTTTCAAAACATACCACATCAATTGCATTGCCCTGTGCCTACCTTAGGAAAAATCCCCCAAAGTATCTTGTAATGAAGGAAATATAATTTCATCATTTATCCTCACCTGTGGAGGGAGAAATGCCTTCCTCCTACACAGTATTTTCTGAGAAGGTAGCTTTGTTTCCTAGGTAGTTAGGGCTTCTGGCAGATGCCTGGAGGATCACCTGGACAGTGTCATGGCACCACAGTGGCCAATTGCCTTTGGAGCCTTACTACTTTGGTATCTTCCAGGGATGCAGTTTCACTCAAAAGCCAAGGTTAAGGAAAAGAACTCCAGCTCTGTTGTATTTGTATTATTATTATTTTGTAGTAAACGGGAAAAAAACCCACATCCCATTTCTACCACAGGTCAGCTGTGGAGTCTTGAGTACCCGTGCTCTCTTCTGAGCAAACATTTGGAAAGTATTATATTTGTTCAGGCCTTTTCCCTCGGTTACTGGATGTTCATGTTTATTCAGTGAAGAAAAACTGCAACATATAGGCACTATATGTCTGTATGAGGACACAGAGTTATCTGGAAAGGCTTCAGTGATATTGTGCATGTGTCTGAATAGAGACATATCCAGTGGTGTCTCAAACCTGGAAACACAAGCTGTTTTGTTAAATACTCTTAGTGCTTGTAGGAGGAGCCTGTATTGAAAGAGAACTTGGTCTTTGGTCTTCAATTTGTACCAAGTTTCCCTCCTGTAGCAGCGTACTTTGAAAAGGAAAGATAAGGAGGGTGTATATGCCATAGTAGGAATTGCACTAATGGATGTGTCATCAAACTCATGGATGTTTGTGTTGACATTGGAATAAGCGGGACTTTTTGCAGCACAGAGACCTGGCACTGCAGCTCCTCTTCTAGTTGTGGCTGTACAAGGAATTTACATGAACAAGACAAAAACTTTCCTAACAGGGTCAGTCAGCACTCAACATCCGTATGGAAAACTTGTTGAAGGTAACTTTAAGTTCAGGGCACAGGCCATACAATTTTTCTTCCCTTGTTCAGTTGCTGTCATAGAAAACCAAATGGTCACTTCTGTTTGCTGTAGGCCAGAGATCCTTTATTTGCTTGCAAGTCTTAAAAAAAAAAAAAAAAAAAAAAAAAAAAATCAATGAACTGCAGTCATGCTTTGCATGTGGGATAATTCACTTATAAAATAGCAACTGTTACAGTTTCAAAGCAATGAATCAAAGATAATTTCCTTAGTGACTGACTTTATATTTTCCTCATTCGTGGTGCAGATTGAATGACAGGAGTTCTTGTTAACATGTTTGTGTAATTGTCAAATTTGACTTTTTTCAGATACCTGGAAGGAAACCATCTGACTGCTGTGCCGAAGGGGCTCTCCACCTTCAGACACCTGACACTGATGTAAGAAACATGTGTTTACAATGTCAAGAAAATTACATGACTCCTTCTGCACTGTGTTGTAGGTAGAACATAAATAATTAGTATTTGGGGGAAAAAACCCACAAAACCCCAAAACCTTCTGTAAATTGAATATGGAAAGAATTTCACAGTGGCCACTGCTGCCAGTAAGTGTTCATAAAGAGTGGAGAAAGAGTGAGGTGACTGAGAGCACCAGAGACCCTTCCTCTGCAGGAGCTTCCAGCCTCTGCCAGAGGGCTAAACTCTCATGCAGGCTGCTACAGTTTCACTTGGCAGAATTATCTGTGCAAAGCTGTAAAGGTCATTAACAGAGGAGACGACATTAATTTGTTCTAGGTGAGGCAGTATTTATAATGCTAAGCAATGAAAATTTGCATAGCTGTTTCTGCTATGAATAGAGACACAACTAGACTTTGTTCAGTAAACTGCTGCCTGAAATACACAGGAGTGAAATTTCTTGACTGAACTATTTATCAGAATTTTTCAGGTGCTGTTTGAATCAGCAGTGTAGATACTCAAGTCAAATGGGCAGAACAACCTCAGACAAAAGCAACATGGAGGGAAAACTAAAATCCTCTGTTTTAAAATAATGTTTTATTTGGAAACATCTCTAATTTTGTTTTTCAAGGGAAAGCAGCAACAAACCAAAATGTTCTGTTTGAGCCTAGAAGACTTCTTTTAAATTAAAAATGAAATTTTGTACTAGTAGTTGTCAATGTGAAGAGCGTATGGAAATGGTTGGCCTGTAATACATTGCAAAGCAAGTTGGTACAGTAAATATTCACTCTTGCTTGTATCATTTATTAATTTATCCTTCTTAAAAAATTTTTGTGGTGTTTGCTGATTTTTTTTTTACTGAATGCTATATGCTGGAAATATGCTTTAACATTTCTGAGTCTGAGGCTTTTTAGGGAAGTCTGATATGCTTTGCTTTTAGAGCTCGCTCAGAGTTGATTAGAAAATATATCGATTGATCATATGTGACTTTTCAACTGCTTCAAGCATTTTGTTGTGCAGATATTATGTAATCTTTAAAAAAATACTTATTTCTCCATCCATACATATAAATGATATTTTCTCTGTCTGTGTCTTCAGTGATTTGAGCAACAACAGCATAAGCATTTTGGCCAATTACACCTTCAGCAACATGACTCAATTATCAACACTGTAAGTAGTCCAAAGTTTTGATAACAGTTTTAATTGCTTTACAGACACCATCCTTAGGTGTTGAGCAATTAGTATATATCTTATTACTTAAGCATGTGGCTTTCCATACTTCCTTATTGTTGAATAAGTAGTGAAATAATCAAAGAAAATACGGTGTTGTGACTCGGTTCTCTCTTTCTCCCAGCATCCTGAGTTACAATAGACTTCGGTGCATTCCAGTCCACGCGTTCAATGGGCTCAGGTCTCTTCGAGTTCTGTAAGTACCGCTTCTTTGATGCAGCTTAGTTGCAGCTTATTAGAATGCTGTTGATGGCAGGGAGATTTTTAATGAACAGATGGCTTTCACTTGATCCAGTAGTCATAAATATTTTCACACAATTAGCTTCAATGTTCTTGTACTTAGGTGCAATATGTACGGTAATGACTAGAGCAGGTTAAACTTGGAAAAGAAGCAATTACATATTTGCAGGAAGAATGACTTTTCTCTGATAGTTCAGGGACAAGAACTGTCATGAAAACAGGCCTCCAGAAGACTGCATAGTCTGTTTCTCTCTTCTACTTGAGCAACATCTGGGTACCCCACAGGAGAGGACTTTTCTCTTTGTCTGCAAAAACTTGATATTTTAGAGTGCAAGTTTGCATTGGATGCTTCAGCAAGAGTGTCTTTACTGAAAACTTACTAATTTTTAGAATATTTTCTATTCATTTAAATTTCTGCAGGCAATTTTTTACATAGAAGAATGAAATCTGAAAGGAAGTTAGAAGTCCCCACACTAAAACAATGAATTAGTCAAGCCAGTAGCTGAGCAATGCTGAGATGCCTGTCTCAAATGTCATTGTGAATGAAATTTCACGTCATGTTGACTTGCAGCACACTCAAAGATGTCCATGTGTGATTTCTTTCCTTGGAGATCCTTTTCTGCACTCTTTCTTTCCAGTGTATCTGCTTTCAGCAGCTTTCTGGATTGAACAATTTGCTTACAGTCTCTTCTGAAAGTCATCTTCTTTATACTGTCTTGGAGTGTGGGCTGTGGGCCTGTTTCTTGCAGCAAGCAGCCACCCCAGCTTTTCTTAGGCATCTGCTAGACTGACTTCTGCTTCAGTCTCGTATTTACTATCTCTCCTTCCCCATCTGCCCCATCAGAAACAAACCCTGGGTTGGGTTTGCTCCATTGTTTGTGTGGACAGGTGTGGATGGACCCTGTGTGGCTGCCAGGACAAGGTGGAGAAGCCACCTTCTCCCCATGACCCAGCAACACAAGTGGATCATTACTTGCACAGCAACTGAAAGCAAAGAAATTAAATAGCTTATCTGTGGTGAGATTGATTATTCAGTGTGTGGAAGGATAAAGAGCTTTAAACACTGAAAGGTCAGGAGAGAGGCATTGAAGAATATGTCCTGAGTGATTTGAAACTTCATGTTAGTACTTTGTATTTTTTTAGCAAAGTTAAATGTCATTCACATGCGGAAGTTTCTGTGAATTTAAAGAGCAGTGGTTGCTGTGCACTGACTGTAACTGTGGAATTAAGTGGCGACATGGGCAATACTGCAACTGTGGAAGCAATAGGGCTGTTTAGCTGAGCTCTTTTGCTGTGGTTTGAATGGTAAAATAGATATGTAGGTTTCAACCTCCTAACTTAGAAGAGAGCTTTAGATTCCCAGTTTTCATTAGTAAAACCAAGAAAGTTACGTGATTTGGATTTGTTGTTTTAAGTTTGGCTTGGGACTCTGATTTCTAGCGCACTAAGATGGTCACATTTGAGCTGTTACACGAGTCCTGAAATTCAGCCACAGATTAATATATTCTGTTTCATGGCTAAATAAATTATTCCATATGGAGCTGTCTTCTGGCATGCTTCTGATATGCAAGCTAGTTTGATTAAAGCTAAGTTTGGGACTCTACCGTGATTATAGTGTAGATATACCATGCCTCACTCTTTCCAATAGCTGCAACTTTTCTTTTCACTTCTGTTCTTCCAAGCCATGTATGGACAGAAAAAAAGGGCAATATTTTAACAATAGCTGTTATCTTTTGGCTTTTTAAAATGATCTGCTAATCAAATTGAAAAAATATCTTCCTCCTTCAAGGGAGAAGCCCTCCCTGTCTTGCACAGATCAGCACGAGTGAAATAAAGCCTAAATGGGAATCTCTGCTTCTGTTCCATGCATTTGGAGACCTCCAGATTGATTTGATTTATTATGGCCCACAAAACTCTGGTATCAGCTACAACTTTTGTCACATGTCATATATGTTGTTATTAAAAATCAATTCTCCAGAGAGAAAATGGCTTCTGAGTGACAGTGTGCAATCTGTTATTGTCAGTTATTTATTATCCATATTCTCAGGGGAATTTAAAAGAGAAAACATCAGCAAAACAATTTCCACTTTTTTTTCTTTTTTTAATAAAAAGAATATAGAGATCTCATTACCTTTAGTTGTGCATGCCTCTGAAGGTAGCAGACACTTCTCATACAGGCTTCTGTGTCTTCCAAATTCCTTACGTCTTCTTTAATTTTTGCCTCTCTATAGTAAATAAAGTAAATATGTATTTGAAAATTGGAATAATCATAGATGTATGATGAAGTTGATCTTTGACAGATATCTGGTTGTGTCCTCTCTCTCCATTTTTCAGCACAAGCCCAACTGAGAAAACTGCAGAGTCAACATGTTTATGTTTAAGCTTGAATATATATCAGTGTTTATGCAATCAGGCCTTTAATCTTCGGTCTTCCCATGACTTATCCATAACAGCAGGCAAAGTGGGCTGGGGAGTAATTTCAACATAGAGCCTTAAGGATTTTTTTAATAAACAAGAGTTAATATCAGTAGGTTTTTGCACCAAAGCTATAGCAGTGAAAAATTGTGGGTTTGGTTTTGGGTTTTGTTTTTTTTTTTTTTGTCCAAAGCTAGTCTTTTTAGAAGCCAAATGCAAACATATTTAAAAAGCTGAGATTGAGACAAAGTAATTATAAGTATTAGAACTCTCTGATAGACCTGACCTGATTATTTTAAAGATTATTTTTATTGTTTGACAGTGTTGTAACTTATGACATTTTGTCCTGATTTAATTGAGGCAAAGTCCAGAAATAAAAATACTTTCTGAGATTGCTAAACAATTTTCCATGTTATCTTTATGAAAACAGTTATGAGATGTGTTACAGAATATTGTACTAACATGAGATATTCTAGTTTTACTGAAAAGTGATGAATATTTGCTGCAGTTCAAAGCTCACACCAACATAGTATTATGTGTGATGATAAAGCTACCACTAATACTCTTCAGGCACAACCGTGGAGCCATATTTTGCAATATACTTTCACTGTTGAATGCTGCACTGATTTGACCTAACAAAAATACTATCTGGCTTTGTTTCTTTTTCCTTTTTTTTTTTTTTTTTTTTTTTCATGGCAGAATGACTACTTGTACTTATCCAGTAAATCTGTAAAAGGTGCTGCTGTTATGAACATTGCGCACTGTGGCTTCCCTCTTCCTCTGACGTCTGAGTTGTGTGGGTTTCTGTAGGGTTTGGCATCCTTCGGGGTTCATTGCAGGTGTTTGCCCTTGATGGGATGTGGCTCCGTAAGATCAGCCAAGCTTTTAGCCACATTTCTGTTCTTACAGGGTTAGTCACTGTTTACTGAAAAAGCATCCCCTTTGTGTCTATAGGAACCTATTGTTATGAAACAGTGGTCTAGGAGACAGGACTTGGGAACAGCTAGTAATAGAAAAAAACAACCAAAATAAAAACCAACCCAAAAGGGTATGTTTAGTTAATTTTCTTGCCTGAATACAAATTAATGTTACATACAGAAGAAAGTTTTTGTTTCAAGAATTCAAGTGTTTTGTTACTTTGTGCTCTGAGAGGAGATCCACATCACCTTAAATTCATACCCTTGCTGTTTACCAATGTTTAGACAAGAGGATACCTAGAAGTTGTGCTTTTCAGAGAGAACACACACCTCAATGTGTGTGCTTTAACTGTCCACATATTTTAAGATCTTATTTGACCATTTGCTTATAAGGTTTTTTGGTGTAAAAATGTGTTCCTGTTGTTGATCTAAGTGGAAAAAGATTTTCTTGCAGTGTTGAATTCTCTCGCCACTATTTATTATTGTGGGGTTTAGGTCTTTTAGCATTTATCATTTCATTTTAGCTGCATGGGTGATGATGTTGCTGACATTATTTTTTTACTAAAAAGCAGGCATTTTCAATGTTTGAAATATGTAGTCAGGCCATTCATTCCAAATAGTTTTATATTTCTGATGGTTTTACTTTCTTACAGCTAAATGGCTTTGTTGTTCTTCAGCTTCTCTTGGAAGAAGTTTCCCAGACATCTGGGAAGGAAAATGTACCCCTTCACAGAATAAACACAACTGATATGAAGATAGATATAAGTTTTGCTGTCTGTTCAGAGAGAATCTTCTTGCACATGTTTAAGTAGTTTAAAAGATCAGAATGTGAGGTCATTATGAATGACTGCTTATTTAAATATGCTCATTTCACTCAAGGAGGGAACATTCTGCTGACAAGTTGTTGACCCAGCTTGATCTTGCATCCTCATACCAACAAAAATACTCATATAATAACTGTGAGGCATGTCTCAGTTAGTTGGACATTCAGTATAGAATTAGTGAATGTGCTTTAACTGGAGTTACTGTGTGGGAGCTCATATCCTTCCTGTTCCTGTTTGGATTAATTGCTTGGACATCCATCCTTTTATATGCCAAGTATTATTATTAATAGCCAAAACCTAGGTATGCCTAAAAGAAAATTTCAGAATCAGGATGTTGGAAGGGGAAGTTTTTGGTATACTGACATCAAGAGCTGGAGAGAGATGCCAGCAGGATAACTCTGCTGTAGTTTTTGTGGCTTCATGCTCTGTAGAAAACCTTTGCAGTGCAATAAGATAGAAACTGCATCTGCAATGAGAACTGTGAAACGTGATCATGGTGACGTTGCTTATGTTCACACAGTTCACAGCGCATGGTAGGGCCCAGCCTCATGGAGACAGGACAAGATGCATCTTCCCCTGGCAAGTCTGGCTTTTCTTGCTGTGTGTACACTGGTGTAAGGCAGTGTGTAAAGGTGGAATTCGTAAGAGTTGTGAGGCATCATGTAGATCCTGGTGAAGCTTATCGTGGTGTTAGGGAAGAAATGGTGTAAAAAGAGATGCTTTTATTTTCATCTGGGGCTATTGTGTATTTCCATGGGCCCAGATGTTTGGTTTCTTTTAAATAAACTCAATGTACACCATTTCAAGAATCTCTACAGTCACAGAAATAAAAAATAAGATATGATTATTGTGTTCCACAAATTACCAGGTAAATTAGAAAATAAATGAGTTGAGGGAAGGAGCTGCTACAAAACTGACACACAGCAGGTTTCTGTTTTCCACCTTCCTCTGCCACGTCTGGAGCACTGAGAGTAATTCCTGGACCTGGGAAAGAGGACGTAAAGAATACAGCAATTTGCTATAACTGAACCAGCTCAGGGGAGAAATGCAAAAGAAAATAGAATTTTAAAATATTGATGTCCTGTTCCTTTGCAAGTTTTCTACCAACTTTTGTTTAAGAAATGGCTAGTGAGATCCAGCAGAATTGACTGCTGTTAGCTCCTTATAAATTCTTACTGTTTATTACTATGTAAAATAGCAAACTGGTATTCAGTGATAAGCAAACTAGAAAAGCTAGAATAAACTATGAATATTCTTCTCTATGATATTTTTTGCCAGATAATGATCTAGTGAGACAGAAGATGCAGCAGCTGAATAGCTGATTTTGTTTATTTATAAAATAAAATCTACATTATTGTGTATCTTCTCTGGTGCATTTTCTGGATAGTTTTTATTCAGTTGTTATCCCCAGCATCCTGTACCCTCCCGTACATTCATTTGTTGCTGCATGTTTCCCTGACTGATTGCAGCCTTGGGGCTGCAAGAAGTGCTCTTCCTCTCTGTCACAACCTCTAGTGCTGGTGCCCTACTTTGTAGCAGGGCCTTCAGTTGCAATTGCAAAGAAAACCGCAAGTAATCACAAATAATGATTTTTACTCTTGTGTCTGCCACTTATAATACAAGTATTGTGCTTTACAAGCTGCGTGAAAAATCATTCCATTTATGCTGGCCTATGTAACACACACATAAATGTATTTTTTAGAAAAGAGATAAAGTGGCTGCTTAAATTGTCCTGAAAACAGTAGAGAGCCCCTTTGGAAGGATCCTGAAAACCCCGCTAGAAAAATGTTAGTTTCTTTGCACAGGGTGAATAATGCCCTAAAACAACTAATTTCAAGTATTTTCTCTGGTAGCATAAATGTATTTGTCAAACAGATTTTAAAAATACAGCACATAGAGGTATTTCCTACTGTAAGAATGTGAAAGTGCAGCTATATTTGCCCTCATGGACCCTTGTTCTCTCCTATCATCTCTCTGAAGTCAATATTTAATTTAGCTTTCACAGCTCCTATTTGCCCGTTCTATTTTTTACTGTGTTTCCAGCTAATGGGATTCTATACAAGAATACAGCTCTGTATGTGAGGGTCTGCTTGTCATCAATGCACTTTTAATAACATAAATAGTATGCCACCTTTTTAATTTAAAACATTAGTCACCAACAATTCCTATTGTATCGTTATTTTAATGCCAACATCTAGAAGTAGAAGTAATAAAGCATGAAAACTCATGAGTTGTGAAGTCCCTAGAAACTCTCAAAGAAACAATATTAAACATCCTTCATAAGTACCAATTCCTTCACTTGTGGGATGCAGATAAAATACTGTGGTTTCATACCTTCCTGCTTCTCCCCTCTTCTAGGACACTTCATGGAAACGATATTTCCACTGTTCCCGAAGGTTCTTTCAACGACCTGGTATCCTTGTCCCATCTGTAAGTACTTCTGCCTGGGTTCATCTGATTGATTGACAGTTTCAGATTTGTAAAACAGTACATATTATTACAAATTTAAGATGGTGTAGCTTTTCTGTTTTTCCTGCTCACTTTCCATGTTCTGCTCTGGATATTCATAGTGCATCTGTTCAAAGAAAATAAAAAAAATGCTAGAACCTGTTGTTATTAGTTACCAAAATATTTTCTTAAGGAAAACCAAATGAGCAAATGTGACAGTTTCCTCTTCTGTGGACTTTGTGTTTAAGGCTTTCTTTCAGCATTGTCTATGTGAAATGCAGAGTGTGTTATGGTCTGAGAGTGAGACAGGAAACCTCCCACAAAGAGCAAATATTAAGCAAATGTGAATTCCTGGTTTAATAAGTGTCATATGTTTTGCATACTGAAATGTCAGTGTATGAACTTGTTGATGAATCACTACTTCAGATGTATATTTAATCATATGGAAATTGGTCATTTCACAGCATTAATACTTCATAATTTGCAAAAATTATTACACATTTCAGATATTTCAGGAAATTACTATTCTATTGATGGAGGTCCAGGATATTTTTAAATGCACTTTGGTTGATGAAAGAACTGTAGAGACAAATAGCTGCAATTGTTACAAAATAAACCTAAAGTGTAACAGTTGGTGCCAAAAGAGTGAGCAGAAAATGTTTTTTCACGGAGATAATGTGTGATACTTCACATTATTAGACAGTGGATGTAAAGGAAAAGTAATTTTGTGTAGCATGTTTCTTGATTACTGTCCTCAAGTAATCAGAGGGTTGGGTATGTCTTGGTCATTTTGTGAAGTGACTAGTTTCACAAGTTGATACAGAAGTTTTCTGCTCTGATGCTGCCCTCATGCACATGAGTTGATGTTGATGCGTACACATCTTGAGACATACAAACAGATACATGTGCATTTAACATAAATTTTATACCTCTGTTTCTCTCTTCACAACCGTAAGCATGCCCTCCAGAGCACTGAACACAAGGTTCAGTTAATATTTACATATTTTCTGGATAGCAAGTATGTCCTTGGACTGTTTATTTCTCTATAACAGCTTTCTGTCTCAGTTTCTCTCTGGACAATAGAAAATAAAGATACCTCAGATTGGTAGAGACAGAAACCATATGTGAGCAACTTAGGCAATTTAGGCTTCAGCAGAGAGATAACCTTCTCTATTTCAAGCTTACACCTTGGTATCTAAATCAGAGGATAATATTGTTTTTGCGCAACATGTGTTTCTTCTTCATGTTCACAGTATGGTCAAATCATTTAGCATGTTGATTTGGGATGAAAGTCTGACTGAACTGAAGCCCTCTGCCTCCTTTCGGAAGCACAGTGACACCTCCCATACTGGGAATCTGGCTTCTGAGGGTATTTTTAGAACTCAAGAGATAAACTTATCATGCCCCATTTGTTTGGATCTTCCTCAGGGTTTACTTTAAATGAAGTGCAGATGCAATTTTCCTGGGTAAACCGTTCACCTTAGGGAGTGATAAAAACCCCTTTGGCCCAATACAATCACTGCAGTCTATCTGTTTAGATATATGTGCTGCCAGAAATGTAAAATACACAAAGCTCAAATGAACAGTAATAAATAGGATCCATAAAATAAATAAGACCTGTCTGGGGTGTAATTTGCACAGTTGAACAATTGAATTTTACAGTGCAATTGTGCTCTCCAATTTCTTGAAGAGGATTCTGAAACTTCTAGCAACCACAATGATTTTTGCTCTTCACATGCCAGGAAAAGCTGTGTTTAGTCAAACGAAGTCATACATAATTGAAAATAAATTCATTTTGAGCTCTTCCTGTTATATTGATCTTCAAGGAGGAAGCAGGCACTTGGAATAATTTTGAAAATGTTATAAGGGGTAGCTGCTTATCAAACTAATAATGCATGGGAAAACAAAATTTTCTGTTAAATTTACAAGTTGCATAGCTGAGAGTAGGATATATATTATGGCTGGAGAAAGCTGATTCCAAGGTGTTAAGCAGGATGATTAGCCTGGGCCTTCTGCATCAGTATAGTTTGGCAGGGAGGATAAGGGAAGAGGGAGGGTATCAAATCTACCTTTGCAAAGAATTGCAAAGAAATATTTGTCTGGCATAGACAAAACTACTGGTTTTATTCAGAGTCTTTTCCAATATCTTTAGATGGGTCTGTAATTGGAAGAACAAAACTGAGATCTAGAAACTTCAGTCACTTTTCCATAGCTTTTTAAAGCCTGCAAGAAAATGTTCACCAAATTTTCTTTACATTGTAAACATCATATTGTTGTAATGTAACTATTATAACAAACTATTTAACTGATATACCTCATTAAAGACAGAGGAAGGTTTGTATATGGTATACACACACTAGTTTTGTTTACTATTTATTACTTTATTTACTTGAATCATATAATTGTCTAGTTAAGCCATAGCTATACTAACTTGTTCAGTCCAGGGCAGTGATAACAATGTTGCAGCACTACTGAATGATCACATGTATTAATACTTAAAAAGAACCCAAAATCCATTGGGGTAGAACAGAGACCACCTCAGCGTGGCCCATTCCTGCATTTTCTGTCCTCACTGTTGCACACAACTCTGTAACTGATTCAGCTCCCTAAATCCTGCCCACACACCAGCTGGCCCCTCGGCACTCCAGGGACTCCACCAAAAAACCTTGGTAGTGGATGCTGCGTACAGCAGGTATTTCTATCAGACATATTTTCGATAAACAGCTCAGATTCCTAATCCTGTTGAATCGTCTCATCTTTACTCAAATTTATGTTAGTTACCTATAAATATAAGTTGTCCCCTCCTCTGTTTCTCCACATTATCATGGCAAGAGTTATTTTAATTGACTTTATTCTAAGTTGCCTAAAAAAAAAAAGTGTCTGAACAGAAATATCTGCACATTTTTAAAATGCTCGTAGTGGTATTTTATTACAGCACAAGTTATTTTTACCTTCTGGAAATATTTTTCTGTAATGGGCAAAGAAATAGAGTATGTTGGAATTCATGAATGAAGATACAAGAATTCACTATAGTTCCTAGAAACTAAGAAAAAAGCCCAACAAAACCACAAACAAAAGAATGGAAAGATACACGCGGTAATTTCTGCAGTTGTACAACAATGTTATTGGTAATCATTTCTAGTGTCTATAGAGCAGCCTTATTTCTACTGTAGTTTATAAAGATTAATTAACACAGTAACTAGCTTTGTGTTGTCCTCCCACTCCCATTTTATATATGGCAGTTTCTCAATGCTGAAGTTAATTTCTTGGTCCAACTTTCACTGCTGCTTTTTGTTTGACCTTGGACAAGTGAGCCAGTTGATCACAGTTACAGGGTCAAAAAGTCAACCCAGTATTTTTTTTTCTGTTATAAGCAATGGATTTACAGAAGGAATGGATGGGTATTTTTTAATACTCTGCTGCAGTACACATTTAATTTTGATGAATGAGCCCTAGACAAGGTTTGAACCTATGAACTCTCATTATGAAACTGTCTAGGGCACAGTGGGTTCATTAGTCACTCCAGTAGAAATGTATCAACAAATTTACCAGAGGTTTCTATCTTAATATCCTGTCCGATATGTTTTTATTTGAAAGAAGCTTGAGTTTAAAATACCGTCTTAAAAATAGTTTGTAACATATGCAGAAATAGTAAAGTCTAAAACCCAGTTTGAATTATTGGTTTCTTTAGTATCTTTTCCCTATGCTAATCTTTATTTAGTTAATTTTATTCCCATGGCAAGTCAAGTGTTTTACAGCTAAAGCCTTACATTTACCTTCGGCAAACTAAATTCAGACTTCCAACATACATTTTTTCACACTTTCAAAAATTAATTGTTTTTAAACTGACTTTTTTGAAGTCTGGACTTTGTCTGTAATTGGCTGATTGCCTGAAAAGACACTTTAAGAGAAAAAATAATGTAAATGAGTCAAAGCAGCCCCTAAACTTAAGGTAAAACGTTTGTTTTCTTTTGGATAATCTTCATGAATAACAAAAAAGTTTTGTGAATTATAATTACACTATGTGAATCCATCTACTTAACCATATGACCTAACTCAAGTGATGAGTTAACCATGAAATGCATTTCCAAAGCCATAAACAAACTTAGCAGACACCAGGTTGAAGTTTTGCAAACAGGGGTATCCTCTGTGTGCATGTTTCATCTAGTGAGGACACATGAGCATGAGTCATCAGATTCAAACTAAATTGCACAATTCACTGTTAGAATATGGTCATGAAGGCCAAAGACTTAAATAAAAGAAACAAATGGGAAAAATTTGATAAAAGCAGTCTGTCTGGTGACATTGCTCAAGCACAATTGTTTGAAAAAGTGATTTGTTGTTAGGTATTTATGAAAGCTCCCTAACTAATGATGGGAAGAAAGGAAAAGAGTGGGAATACTGGGGGAGATAAAGCTAAAAGACATCCTGAATACTCAAGATCTTTCCCACATTTTGAAGTAAAGCACTGCTGTAAAAGTGTAGAATAAAATGTGCCTCAGTAAGATCGGGGATGTTATATTTGCTTGCAAGCCAACATAACTGCTGTTAATTGTTTTACACCACAAGGGCCCTAGGTACCAACCCTCTGCACTGTGACTGCAACCTCCGCTGGCTGTCCGAGTGGGTGAAGGCAGGGTACAAGGAGCCAGGGATAGCCCGCTGCAGCGGGCCTGACACCATGGTGGACAGGCTGCTCCTCACAACACCAACTCACCACTTCCAGTGCAAAGGTAGGAGCAAGCTGGGAGGCTCTCTGTTCTGTCCTATTGCTTATCCTCATATGCAGTGCTTTATTTTTATACTCTTGGAAGCTGTTTGGTTTTAAAGTGAGTTGGCGGGGCGGGGGGGGGGGAGGAGTTGGCTTTGGCTTTCATTTTCTGAACCATCACACTACACTCAAGTTGTATTTTCAAGTGTTCTTCCACAAAGTACAGTTAACTGCACCACTGAAAGGAAAACCAGCAAACCCCGGAAGAGTTAGTATTTCTGTTGCTCACACCAGAGATAATGGCAAGTTAGCATATAGGATGTTGCTAGAATTTATTTGAGCAAATAAATTGGTTTTGCTCTTCTACCTACCCCAGAAAACTTTGGTAAAATAAGAGTTATTTTTAAAATACAGAGCACTCTAGTTTTTATGTACATTTACTTGCAATCTGAGAAACCGAGAATTCTTCTGGAAAGCAAGTATTTACCAAGAGTACATTTCAATTTGAAGATCTGCAAACTGTCCTCATCAGCTCTCTATCAGAAACTGGAGATGATGGAAAATGTTTCATGTCTGAATACAGTGTACATTCATTCAGGAGAGGGTTGAGGTGCAGCTGTTAACAATAAGGGGTAGTCAGTGTTAGGGGTGTGCTGCATTAGAGAGCAGTTAGACAAATGACAGCACACTTTTTTTTCATGGATAAAGTAAGTAGCTTGCTGCTGAATGTAGGTTAAGATATACCTGTATGTTCTTACTGTAAAAAAAGTTTTGAAGGTTCACTTATGTTACCAGTGAGTATGTGAAGATGTAGCTATATTTGTAGTGGAAAGATGGGTTGGTAGCCTCTTTTAGAAATGGAAACGAGGGCATAAAGCCTGTTTTTATGCCTCTCAGAGTGCCACACACATGTACAGTACTGCTTGGCAGCATGGTTTTGTAGAGGCTGAGATTAAACTGCTGAACAAACAAATGATGGTGTTGAGGTGGGTTTAGAACATGGATTCCCAAGCCTGAGTTGAATTTTATGCCCTTTCATATATATTTTTAATAACTATAACCTTATAATTTAATTACTTTGAAATGTCAGCCTCAAGGCTATCAGAACTCTGACTATAATTATCAGAACTACAGACTTTATAATAGCCTCTCAAATGTGAGATACAAATATACTCTAAAAATACCAAATAACGTACTTGTTCACACGAAGCGAAACAAAATTATTGTATTTACATATGAAACAGGGCCTGAAAATTAACCCAGAAAGATGAACTAGGTGACCACTTCATTCTGAAACTGTAATACATCAATAGTTATGCTTATTTTCTCTCAAAACTAAGCAGGCAGCTCTTAGGCAAGAGACAGGCAAACCTGTGATTCAGACTATTAAAAACACCTGTATGGTTTTTATGTAATTATTAGCTTGGTCCACTGGAAAACTGGTGGGCTCTCTGCTATTCCCAGCAGGCTCCATGGCTCACTTTATCTGAATAGAAAAGGAGAAAAAAGTGTTGATTTGAAAGTAGTCTTTGGACGAGCAGAAACTGTTGATGGTCTGGAGGAGTGGCAGTATACTCCAGGCCCTAGCAGAATCCACCTTTTCTAATCACAGTGCATATATTTTGAAAAACAATGCGTGATTTGGTAGTCTAACTGAACCAATTTCCCATGTGTGTGTTTAAGATCCAATGCCCGTGCTATTCTGTCCGGACACCGGTGATGCTCTTTTATGGTAAAGCAACAGGATTTATCACGATGTCAAGCGCAGGTTTTCCCTCGGGCTGGAGCCACGCGCGTGGCCGGTGACAGGGTGCGGTGCCGCCCGGGTTTGTCCTGCAGCTGCATCGCCCTCTCGTTCGTTGCAGAGCTGAACCTGAGACATGTGCCAGTCAGCAGCAGAACGAGACTGTCTGTGGGGTGACACAGAGTGTCCAGGGATATGTCCGTGTAGGTGCAGTCCTAGCTCTAGCACGGCTAGCACGGAGCTCAGGGTGAGCTGAGCCCCCTGGCCCCCTAAAAGCCCGAGTCATTGCTGCAAAATGCTGAGCTTGGTACCTTGAGATGCTTGTACAAAGGTAGTGCATAGATGTCCTCTGTGACCTCCAGTAACTTTTACATTTAAAAAAAATAGAGTTTAACTTATTCTTATTAAAATTATGTTTTTAGCCTGTGACTGAGCAGAAGGTTATGTCTCAGCAGAGCCAAGAAAATAAAAGTATGTAATGTGCAAGTCATGCAAACTCAGCTCTGCTTTTTATTAAATTGCCCTCCTAGTTATGCAGTAGAGCAAAGGAATGTGCTGGGCTGAGGGCATTTTGCTATATGGATTTATAAATCAAATCCACAAGGGCAAACTAATGAACTACTTAACTGCTAGGAACTAACACTGTTCCTATTAGCTCCTACATTGATTAGCTTTGATCTATGCCATAGGAATAAATGGAAAATGTACGTGTGTGTATTATGAAATAAATAAATAACAGAACAAATTCTGGCTTAGTGACCTCTAAATCTAGAAGAGCAGCACTGCTGCCTGTCTCTTGAGCTCTCCAAGAAGCTACCTTCCTATATTCTTTGAACATTCTACCTTCATAACAAAAGTAGCTTAGATATGCCACATTCCACCCCCTGCCAGAGCCAGAAATTCAGATGTTATTTCCTCTTGCTGTCCTAACTCTAAGTTAAAAGCATGTATGGCATTTGGTTAGACATAAATGCAAAGATAGAAGAGTGCAACAACAGTCTTTGATTTGATTTTTTGGATTTATTACTTCTTGTGTATTTTTAACTCATTATTGCATGTTACACTCTGCAATCAACTGTGCCCTGTTAACAGAACATTGCATGTTGCACTCTGCCATCAGTGGCCCTGATAACACCACCATCAGTATAGGATCAGTATATAGCCTTTACATTGCAGGTACTTTTCAGCTGAGACTCCTTGGTAGCTATTTCTGACATGTTCTTACACCCTGTTGGTGCTGTACAACTATTCAATTTAATAATGAGGGTTTATCTCATACAGGATGGTCCAAAGCAAATCCTTGACTAGAAGGGATTTTTTTCATCCTTAGTTTTGGTCACCTTCTCGAGCTCCACCTTCTCTTTAACATCAAGAATAAGCTGATTTTCTTAATTTTCAGGATGTTTCACAATTTATTCCTTCTTATCATTTATCATGCAATAACAGAAGCTCTGTGCCCACTTCTGATTAGCACAGGACCAATTTTAAGTTCTTTTAAAATATATTTCCTTAAAAATGAAATAAAGTTATTTTATGGTCTTTACTCCTAGTATAATATAAGCTCTTTTAAAGTGTTAAGTTTTATTTTTTATGTGTAAAAGGTGTTAACTCATTAATATTCAAAATGAAGCCATTTCAAAATCACCATTTCTTTAACTGTAAATATAACGGCCTATACAGCTCTCTGTAAAATCTCAACGATAAAATATTGATTGACTTGGTACCCCAAATGTACTTAGTATTGTTTTGGCCTCTGTTCATTTTCCTGCTCACCCACAAACATTACTACTTCTCTCAAAGAGTTCTGTTAAAAAATGTGATTTATTAAATGGTTTAAATAAGGCCATGTGTATTTACCTGCATACATTTGCATCTTTGCATATTTGCTGCGTTTTGCTGAGATAGCTCAATGTTGATAATTATTATTCTGGGCAGAACAGGAAGAAAGTAGGTTTTGAACTCTGTTAAAATTAAGGATGGTAAAACACTTGGCACCTAAATATTCCCTTAAGCCCTTAACTAAATCTTTCTTATGCATGTTTTTTATTTCTGCTGTTGCATCTGCACTTTCATTCCTATACCAGCCATAGAAATGTCATGTTGTAGTTCCCTAGGGGTTGCTATTGCAGAATTTCCAGCACTGAAAGAAAGAAAGATTGCTGAAAGCCATATATCCATAAGCCCACTCTCTGGAGATTCCCAACATGTTTTTTCAGAGCTGATGTTTGCATGTCCAGGAGAATATAAGCATCACTGAGACTTGCCTCGTGCTTGATTTAACTACTTAAAACCTCTCTGATACTTGGGAGTCCCATGCTGTTTTATAAATCTGCACCAGCAGCATGTGTATTTGTGCCAATGCAGGGTGAATACTGCATTAGGAAAAAATGTATCTGTGAGTATGTGAAGTATTAGCTTTTGTAATCCAGTTCCCTATTTGTACACTGTGTTTTGCCTTTCCAGATCCGGTAGATATCAGTGTTGTGTCCAAGTGTAACCCCTGCCTCTCCAATCCATGTAAGAACAACGGGACATGCAACAATGATCCAGTGGAGTTTTATCAATGCACTTGCCCTTTTGGCTTCAAGGTATGACTACAAATGAACTACATGAAAAGCAATAAAGTGTTCCCCATCCCTTCTGTTTTCTTAATTGTTGTACCGTGAGAAGTCAATTTTACAGGCAACTGAGCTCAAAAGATCCCTTACTCAAGTAGATTGTGTGTGACCTTTAAACTGCTCCCCACTACAAATTTTATCCCGTGCAATCAGAAAGACATTTCTTTCTCTCTATGCTGTGACTATACAGATCATTCTGAGCAACTTGCTCTAGTTGACCCTGCTTTGAGTGGGGTGGTTGGACTAGACTATCTCCAGAGGTCACTTCCAACCGTGGGCATTCTCTGATTCTTTGATCTAGACATCCATATGAAATGGCAAGTTGATTTTATCTTCCTTTTAATTTCTTTTCTTTTGCCAGTAACAAGATAATCACTTCATACACTGCCAGGCTAAAGAGGAGGCAGCTCAGATGAGAATTAAGGGCCAGTTTAGTCCACAGCAACAGAACATGGATACCTGCTAGTTTACATCCATCTTGCACAGACTGATTAGCAGAAAGGTGATAACTGATCAGACACAACCACTAGCTCAGCTGTCTCTGACTTCTGAGCACTGGTGTCCATAGAGTGATCTGCAAATGTGAAATCCTGTAGATGCCAAGCATTGTGAGCATGCAGTGTCAGCTTCCTGATACCATCTGAAAATCTGAAAATAGTGTCATTGAGTAATGCAGTTTCTTCTGTAGTGATAGGTAACTCCTGTTGTTAACACTGCATCATGAGAGCTCGAGGCTACCAAGACTTTGTTTCAGAGCTGATAGAACTGGAAAACTAGCTCAGTAGTCAGTAGCTTAGCAGTTAAGTATAAGTAATAAATGAGGCATAAGATCTGTAAAACAACTCGGGGGGGAGGTGTGGGGATCAGATGTGATGGCTAGAGAAGTAGGTTGCGTCCTGTAGACTGTTACTTGATTTGCCTCATTGGATATTTCTTACGGAGTCTTGGTCAGTTGAAGCAGATGATCATAAAACACAGAGTAATAAGAACTAAAGGGAAAAAAAGAAGGGCAAAACCAGACATATGTGTGGGAAGTATGCACAAGTATCCATGTCTTACATTTCAGGTAGGATTTAGGAATTAGTTGGTTCTGATGATATCACCATTTCCCTTCTCTATTTGCCAAGGATACATCCCAGATGGTAACAGAGTAATTGCAGTAGATCCCTGAAACATTGGAAAAGGGAAGATGTAAAGCTCATTTCTTTTATTACATCCCAGTGCCCCCACACCTAGTACTCAAGAATAATAACAATTCTCCTAAATAGTTGAAAAAGCCATTGGAAATTTCCTCTCATTAAAAACCCTTCAAACCATTGGCATATCAGGCAACAACATTTCAGGATCTTAAAAGACCATAGTGTTAAAAATTCATTTAACTGAAACTGCTTGGTAACAATTGATACATCTTTACAATGAGGGAAAATGTGGCAGTTTATCTCCTCAGGTTAATAGAAGAATGGTCATTTTAATTTGACGTTTAACATAAACTAGGTTGAATTCTTCAGATGGGACTAGGTGACTGTTAGGGTAACTTGGAAAGTAAATGCTTTCAAATCTAGCAGGAAAATAAATATCTTACTCCATAAGACATGTATCATGGAACAGGTATCGAGGTTATTCAAAGTAGAAATTTGTTGGTTATGAGTATATCTCTTTTTTTGCCCTTAGTTTTTTTTTGTGTTTTTTCTTTTTTTTCTTTTACAGTATTTCTGTATTAGCAAATGCACTAGTATAGATGCATTTATACTGCTAGAAGACATGTTTATAAAGGAAGGATTTATTAACAAGAATAATCCTCTAGTTATATTAGCAATCACGTTCTAGTGTGCACATTAGACCTCAGTATACATCGTTTTACTTAGAAAGATTTTGATAAACTCTTGAAGTGACTCAGTTTAAACATCTCATTGACCATCCAGCTTTTCTCCTCTCTCACACACTTTATCAGGTAACATTCAGTGTGTGAATGCAAAACCTAAAACCACTTGTGAGCTTGTAAGCACCAAGCCGTCATCCAAGCATGGCAGAGAGCAAACAGACCCAGGCATGGCACTTAGATCAGAGTTTAAAAAAACTGACTGGATAACAGTACAGGGAGAATTGGTGGAAATTTAATAAGCAAAAAAGAACTGTGTGTCTTTACCACAGGTTTTTGAATAAAAATGAAATATGACAGGTCCAAATGCAAACCATATGAAAGGAGCACTCTATCTACCACGCAGTTCTCCACCAGAGATTCATGCTAATTCAATAACAATACCTTGCTTCCTTCTCACCAGCCAGCACCAAACAGCTCTATCCATCTGGAAGCTATTTCCCAGACCTTGATAAATTGCCCGAAATCTGCCCTCTCAGCATTTGTTTTTCCTTGTTTGATGTAGATTTTGAAAAAATCCTGTGTGGAAGAGTGCATCAATAAAGTGAAAACCCACCCTTTTTCAAATGCAAGCTCATTCAAATGAGCTGACGGCTTTATAATGTTCCCTGGAAAGGGACAGACAACTACTTTCTTGGGTTGCTATGCTCATGCTAGCCTTTAGAAAAAAAGCAATAGGCCAACTAGCAGAAAGCCACCTAAGTTACCAGTTGCCAAACTGGTGTCTGATGAAATCAGGAACTTCTACCAGTTAACTGTAGTCACAAAAGCCTATAGTCTTATTTTTCACTATCACATTGATGATGACTCAATCTCTTATTTTTCATGATCACAAAAATGTTTTTTCTATCAAATGTATACCTTATGGGGCTTTAGCAATGTGTAATCCTGCCCATGATGGGTTTGAGTAAACTTAAAAATGAGATCACTCACAGACCATCTGATCTGAGAGGCCAGCGGGCCCAGCAGTTGTGTCTGATGAGGACACAAATATAGATTGCTCACTTAGAACCAGGGAAGGCTGCGTGCTGATAGCTATCTGTTCTTAAAATGGGTGATGAATGTGCTTGCTGTAGATAAACCATGGTTGAAACAGCGTTTTTGCAGTTGTTCTTTGGGGACAAAGCCCCAAAGACAGTGGGAGATGGTGTGAGAGTGCCACCTACGGCGACTGGCACGCCGCACGAGCTCGAGCTCCAGGGTGCCACCGATGCTGGCAGGAAATGTCTCTTAATGTTATGAAACTTGTGTTTTCATATTAAACACAGACATAGGTGTAATTATCCAGTGGGTTTTTTTTCCTCTTTTCCACAGCATTCTTTGAAAGATTATTTAAATAATATGTGTGGTTTAGATTGTGAAGTATGATTACAAGTAGAGAAGTGAAGCTTTCTTCTGCTTTAAATGCTGCTGGCCACCTGCAGTGCAAGTGTGTGTGAGTGCAGCTGGTGGCTGGTAAATAGATAACGGTGCTGTACTAATTCATTTATCCTGCAGAGTGTGTGGCTTTTATGTATTCCCATTGATATTGTAAAATCAAGTCTATGGGTGTTAGAATTCATGAGAATAATCATAAGCCATTGAGAAAGGATTTACTTGAATAGCTATAGTAAAAACTAAGGTGAGTGAAACCAACAGTCGGTATATTTTGTCATTGCTGTATTCTAAAAATGCCATTTTTGATTTTTTTGGCTGATTTTTGTGTCCTTTGTACTTTTTTTTCTTAAAACTGAGGTAACAGCTAATGAAGGAGAGTAATTTTCTTTCTTCCCAATAGACTTATATGTAGAATGAAACAACATTGGCAACCTGGAATATGAAATGCAGTACCTGCCTAGGCATCACCACAGCCTCTCTGATTGCTTGAATAAATGGGAGCCTGAGCTGTTGGGATGCAGGAAGTTTTTCAACTCTGGGTTCTGCTGTTACCAAAAACTATCTGAAATGGAAAGTGAAGATAGGCAAAATTAGTATAGCACATATCCCACACTTCAGGCAACAGATGCTGATGCGTAGCTGTGCTAGAGTTGCTCTGTAAATTTTATCCAACTCTGTTCACCTCTCTGTTGAGTTCAGCCAGTGTCCTGACTTTTCTAGCAGCTCTGCAGTATCTCGAGGGTTCAAGAAATTTCACCAGTCATGCAGAATGACAGATACAATTGGAAAAATCCTGGGTAAAGCTCTTGGGCTTTGGAGAGACCGTGTTCTTTGCAGCCAGACTCTTGTGGTGGGAGGCATTATAGTGAAGCCAGAATGATATTTAGAGAGGAAGCTGGCTCCAAAGTTCTGCTAGGAATTTGGCTCTTCCTCCTCCCCGCCCCCTTCGCCAGGTTTTCGTCCGTGGAAACAGGGTTAGAAATTGAGAATCTCAGAGCAGAGTGTCTCTGCGATATGCAGGTTTCGTGTCTCTCACGTGTTGTACACAGACATAACAAATGTGCCAGAACTTGAGCAGATAGATGGAGCTGAGCAGAGGCTGTGACTGCTCAGCACAGGGCTAAGAAGCAGGTTGTATCAGTACAGACCCCATGCCATTAGCATGGACTCAGTGCTGCCCTGGCTGCATCGTACGCTCGTGAGCGTGCACATGGCCTTGCATTTGCTTGGAGCACAGGCAAATGAAGTTTGCTGTATTTGCGCTTTGCCGTGTAGATGTACTTCTGTAGCGTTACATGAATAATCTGTTTAAAGTCCTAGAATAACGCATGTTGGAGAAGTATTCAACACAGAACTGATATTAAGATGTAGATATGATAGTGTTTGCTTATGTACAGATATTCTGGCCAGCTTTTACAGCTCAAGGCCAAGACAGTGTAAGTTTCTTCCAATGGGCCAGTTTCTCAGTTATGCTGATTTGGGTGGGGTTATATGAATGTAATTGAGTGTAGAGCTTGGCTGCTGATGCATGCCAGCTGTGTGAGAGTCCATGCCTAGTTTGTTAGGCTAATACTGTTTGGAAATACAACTCTGTGCTTTTGTTTCTTTGGATCTATTAACATATGCATATAAGTCCCCATATACATCATTCAATGCACAAATAAATCCTCACATTGGAATTGCAAAAGGAGGAGAAATTGCAAGGAGCTCTTAA